TCAAGAGACTTGCAAACATTTTTCCACATACAGCCAATACTTTCAAGCTCATACTATGCACTCTGCCAAATATAGATGTGTATTCCTTGCCCTGGGCTATTTAGGACTTGAAAGTAATGATTACTTTATAGATGAATGAATTCTCTTGGTAACAACTTGAAAGCATAGAAAGTGGCTTAACATCCAAGTTTTATTATTCACAAACATACGTGCCACTGAACAGCTGTTTATAAAACGGTGGCGAAGAGAAGAGGTTTTCAAGGGACATAGAAACTGTTCAACATATTTCATATGTAGAGATTGTTACCTTCAATGGGAAGATCTTTTCCTTTTCCTGTGAATTACACTCAGAAAAATCATTTGGTTTTGCAGATATTGCTTATTATGCTTATCATTTAGCTCTGAATGTTACCTCGACACAACTCATAGAATTCAGATTTAACTAGAATCGAGTTATAGAATATTTTTTTGATCAAATTCCAAAATTAAGAAAAGAAAGTTAATTTCGATAATTATGAGAATTTCCATGCCTTACGAGGCCTGCAATAAGGAGAAGAAAAAAAAGTAGATATCATAAAGAAAAAACATTTCAAAAATTTGTGAGAATCAATGAACTTTTAAGACTTTAAAGCAGTACGATTTGGTTATGAAAAAAATGAAGCTCATGAAATGTAAATCTGTAGTTGTAGGATACTACCATACTTCACAAAATAAATGCTTTTAATCTTTTCAAATAGTGATGGTCTTAACATTAATAACGATCAATTTTGGCCCCAATTGTGAATTTTTTTTTTAACGTTTGAGGCACTATTTTCAAATTCAAAAAGTACAAAAAGTCTTTATTACAGCCCAAAACATATCGGAAATGATGGAATAATACTCTAGGTCAATTGATTGCTGACTTTGAAGAAGTGACTGATAGATGTCATTTTCCTAGTGCTTTTCCAAGTATGTAATCAACTCAAACTAATCTTCACATCGAAAATCCTGTCCATATGCAACAAAAGTCTTTGCAACCTTTGAATGCATCGACATGTTGTCATTTACATCTTCGATTGCTTGTTCAAGCCACAAAAAAACGTCTTTTTGATCGACTTTGTATTTTACAGCAGGGCCAAAATCAGACAATATCTTCCAAGACACGTATCGCCTCTTGAAAGCTGTTTTATCAATTTTTTTACAATCAAATCGCACATCTGAATCAAATTCGTACACATTGCTGGAATGCTTACCAAAGTGATGTTTACTTCTGCAGCTACTCCATGACTTGATCTGAAAAATGGTTTGATGTGGCATCCCATATCAATCCAATCTTTTCATTTGGATAACATGAGTGCATACATTTCAGATAAGTGCAACATCCTTGTTTCTACATCCAATGTTTTGGATGAAATGTAACTTTGCTAGGCCCGTTCCAAGAAGCGAATCTTCGTGACAGCGTTCCATCACGCTTGCCAATCATGAGAATCATAGGAGCGATAATTTGTGATTGAAACATCTCACATGCCACCATAACTCTGCAACCTTTCTTGGCATCTTCTGCTCTGTTGGAACCAACTCTTTTGACATTCGTTGGAGCAATTAAATGTGTTTTCTTTGGATAAAATTGAAGGAACATTTCATCTCATTGACCAAACGAGTCACATTAGCAGATTTCATAATTGTGCAGATCAATGAACATGCATCAATACAAATATGCAACCAGTTGACGGGACGGTTTGGCATATTGATTACTTTTGAACAGAGAATCGATGTTTCACAAGAACCCTGGCTAGTCATTGCGATAAACTTAGAGATATATTCCCCGAATGGTACTTCATCTTCTTCTTCCATTCCGTCTTATCATCTTCATTGTCATGATCAAAATCTAATATCAGCAGATCATATGTAGTCAATTTGCTCAAAAGATTGCCCTCTTCCACTTCAACACCACCATCTCGACGATGAACTTTTCTTGCTCTGGATATTTGATCATCCTCCCAGAACCTACATTTTTTGTTGTTTTGAGAACATATGTGATGGATTCAGATATCTTGGTCAAATTGCGATTCTTTTGAAGATTGCCAATTGATACTACCGACACATACCGATAACATGAAGTTGAGTTCCAAAATTTTGAATCCACCTCCACCTTGTTTGAAACGTCCACATCTTGGTAGTTTTCTCGATAGTTGGCAAGCAGTGCAGGAAAGATATCAAAGACTTTGAAAGAATCAACATATTGCACCCACTTGTCGTAATACATCATCCTTGTGATCCAGTTTCAAAATGTCATCATGTTTATCGAGAACATATAGCACATCAATTCCGAGTCCATGATTCCAAGCAACTTATGGAAATAGAATAAGACAGCTTTTGATTTCTGTTTCCACGTCATTGTATGATATAAGTAAGTTGTTTGCTTTCCTTTAGCCTTTGATCCAACCGACTTCAGAAGCTCCTTCATCAAAGAACAGTGTAATTGCCGCTGACGTGCATCAATGACGATATACTTCGGAACAGAACTTGAGCTTGCCATTGCTGACGACTTGACCGTCTCTAGATGAAGTTGTGGAAAGAATTCACAACGAACCAATCATGAAACGCACTCAACATTCTTTTGCAATTTTCTCCGATTCTCTTGATCATCCACCCACTTTTGATTTTCAAGATTTGACAACAAAAACCTCTTCATTTCCGGCAATTACACGTGATAACAAGTAAAGACAACAACGGACAAAAGTTTTCAAACTAAGAAGAACAAGCAAAAAATGTCTTCGTCATATCAATATCATGGAGATATGACGAGCAACAGATTCGAGCTCATTTGCCAATTTTTTGGGTGATTACCATGATTGGGTATTGAGTACTTTAATTAAGTCCGTCACAATAATTGATCAATTTATGGGTACTTTTAAAAAAATTTACCACAGTGATTTTTTTGTTAACAAAAAACCACTTAAACATTAAATAGTGCCGTGTTTTCTCTAAATAGCAATTTTTTTGTTAAGCATTTATTTCGTGAAATACGGTAATATGTCATTCACTAAACAAATCAATGATTAAGTTACATAAATGGTTAGTACATCTTCTTCAAACTCTGATAGCTAGAATATAATCATATGTATGTACGGATAGATTATAAATTAACCAAAAAGTTGATCATGATTAATTAAATTATGACTTAGTTTAGTTATCAAATCTATACTTGAAAAAATAATTATAGTGTTCTAAAAAATATGTATCAACACTTCTATTTTTTCTAATATACATCTCAGTTTAGTCCCCACGCGCTACTACACTCTGGAAAATCTAGAAGACCCTACATACTACTAGAGCACATGACAAGTAATATGTTGAGACAATTAAATTTATTAATTTTGATATATTAATAAATTTTGATTTGAACATATTTTACATATTATTAGTACTACACAAAATATTTTTTTATATTTTTTTGACTCCATACACATGTATATGTCACAAAAAATTTATTGAAAATAACTCAATATTTTTAGATGTTTTATAAAAAATTTAAACTTAGTAAATATAAATAATTAAAATTTTTATTATACGAAATTTCTTATTGAAGTTTACAAAAAAATAATTTGACTCAAAAATAAAAAAACTAGCATATGTTTTGTGAGCTTCATATGCTTAATTTATAGATAAGTTTTAAAATTTTGAATTATTAATATTAAGTTTAATTTTTTAAGTGGGAAATGAAAATTTGAATGAATAATACACCTACTCCGTACTTGAATTGTTTTCATTTTTCTATAACATCACATTTTTCATCTACAATTGATGAAAAAACCAATTGACTTGAAATCATGTATATTTTTTTGTAAATCAATTCTGAATTTGATTAAAAAAAATAGTCTTCAATCACAAATGTAAATTCATATGTACTGAAATGTTTAAATCAAAATGGTGAAATAACTTGCTTTCAATGTTTATTACAACATTTGCAAACATATATATCAATTCAAGTAAATATCATTATAAATGTGATTTGTATACTTGTGATTCAGATATTACTACTTGATGGTACCCTTGGAAAACTCAAATTACTTGATGGGATCCCATAGGTTTCATTTTACTCGATGAGATCCTCTTGACGGCACACCGTCAACGATGTTCCAGTAGTACAAGTTACACCATCGTGTATCCCTCGTTGGACGATGAGTAAGAGCGAGAAGGAATGCTCCTGGTGACGAGATTGCCGCTATTGTTAATTCTGCCCAAGGGCGTAGAGAGTCCAGACATTGGGTAGATTATGAATGTTCTCACAGAGGCACTTCAGATGGAAGGAGAAATCGTCGACCATCGGAACACTTTGCTCAACCAACTATCCCATACTTTGGAAGCTGAATCCTGGATATACTCCAGAGACTTTCACACCTACTTCTAACTCTTACCCATCGTCTTAGATTTACAATCATCCACCTTGGAACATGGACCACAGATTGATTGATCTTGAGGTTCACATCTACTTCTAACTCTTAACCATCGTCTGAGATTTACAATCATCCACTTGGAACATGGACCCCAGATTAGTCGATCTTGAGAGTCAACGGATGTCAATTGATCTGTAGAGGCTGAGATTACATACGTGATTCACTTCAATTCAGATCTTAGCTCCCGTTGTCAAGCACAAAGTTTACTTCAAGTTTATACCCAGGTAGTAAGTTCTCTATGTTTTTTCAGATGCAAACGCTATCGGGAGATTTACCATCATGGTCAAACGAGTACCCAAATTAATATCAATGGAGAAAGTATTTGGGCCCGATAGTGACAAACACTATCCACACTGCGATACAAATTTCAGGTTATAAGAACTTTGATTAGAACAAGTCCGATGGTGACATGCATGGCCATTGAGTGGGTTCCCATCGGAGAAATTGAAACCTATGGTGTCACATCAAGTAATTTGAGTTTCCCAGTGTACCATCAAGCAATTATCTCTTGTGATTCATGATATTTATGAGAGAAAACAAGTAGATTAAAATAACTTATTGCAGGTTTTATAATGGAATTCCTTTATACTTAGATGACGTGACAAGTTGATCGTATTCTGAAATGTAGTAACAAAAAATCCTATTGTCTCTTGCTTCACCACCCCACTGTTGTTGTTTGCTCAAAATGATTTTTCCGATGTCTGGCAGCTATCACTAATAAATCCAAGTTTGGCTACATAAAATGAATTGTAACAAAACCTTCATAGGTCTCGATACTACAAAAGATGTATCCAACCCTTTACTATATATACCACATTTGCATCCTACAGAACGCTTCAATTTTCGATTCTCTTCACAGGCCTTGCGGGCCCTTAGAATTTCTTCAGCATTTGTTCGACGGTAGTTAAGTGATTGAAATTCTGAACAGGTATATAAATCTGATTCTGCTGATGAGTTGTGTCCTTGTGAACCTCGCACGTCTAAGCCTCTACATGTTCTAGAATACCCTCCAACTGCTCCGATCGGATGATCGAGCTCAGTTTGAAGGGTTTGAAATGAGCGATAAAGCACCTTGATGACATCTCAGTTCACATCGTAAACCTTTAATCGACATGAGATCACTATTCTACGCAGTCGAAAAACGAGAATCCATTCGAATTAGAAATGAGTCATTTCTGAGTTGTAGACAGTGTCGTTAGCCAATTTTCCCACTGATTCTCCAAGGTCTTGATGGATAGCTACAATTCCATCTTGAAAGGACTTAGGTGTCTGCTCTCCCTGTTGAAGAACTTGATGAGGACGGGAGACTGGTATTGTAGAGGGGATTTGTAGACAGTGACAAGGAATCGTTCTTCGAGGCTGCAGTGTCTCCCAACTCAACACGCGATCGGCTTTCGGACTCTTCATTTAGTTCACGAAGATGAAAAACTGTAGATCCGTCCTTACTGTCTTCCTTAGTGTCTCTGGAGATTGACGAGGGCTGTGCCAGCGTTAAGGCTCCTATTTGATGCTGGAGTTCAACACAGTGCTGTAAATGTCTTTCCAATATCTGCAGTATTTAGAAGAAACATCAATTACTGTTTGTCAACGTATCCCTCGTAGCGGCAGTCTATTTACAGATAGTGCATATGGACTAAAATTTCAAAGAGAAATGTTTGCGTTCTTGTAAAAGAGTGTTCATCAATCATTGTCAGTGCACGAACATGTGAAGAATAGAGTAAGTTAAGCAATTAGAAGTCAGATAGGTGATTAAGTAGAAAATATTGTCTCGACACGCAGTACTAAACAAAATTTTACGTTTTACAGAGGGTGAAGCTTCTTAATATCCTAGGGCTTCGCTAAGACGAGACAAAATCTATAGCCTGAGAACTGTCTGTTCTGTAACAGACCTCAGAGACGCCTCTCAAATAAGTGAGCTGGACATCATTTTGAGAATCAGAGTTTGCACAACTGGGGTGGAGATTGTTTTGAGCATCTTCCGCTTGTTGTTCCCGTATCAAACTCCTAGATGATGAGTTGGGGTCAACAAGAGGTGAAGCAGATGATGATGCATGTGGGAGGAAACAAGGTTGCATCGCATTTTGTTGCAACTGGCTGAAGAGTTCAGCTGTCTGTACCATATTATGCTTCCAAATCCATCTCTGAAGCACGTTGTGTTGATTATATACATTTACCATCAATGCTGGACAAAACGTGTCCCGTGTTAGGCTGCTTGCAACATTGCAAAGTTCCTCTCCACTCCCCGTTACATCCATATTCGCTTGGCCGGATGTGTGTGCTTGAGTATAACTTGGCAGTAACATTGGATACCTGAAAACGCAGAGCTGATTGCCTGTAAATCATCTGGCAGCTGCTTTTAAGCTCGTCATCATCTAAAAGTAGTTTTGCAGCATTAGTCATTGCAAGGAAGGCAATCTCAGATCAGATATGGTGCAGGTAACTCAAATTAGAGCACTGTAGAGAGTGTTCGATATCGATATCAAACGACAAGCTCCGGCCAAGTGTTGATTTCTAGTAAGCCCTTCCAAGAAAACTGATGGAACCAGACCTACAAGCTCCCTTTTAGAATTCTAGTGCACAGAAACGAAACAACGGTACCAGATAGAATAGCCACGTGATAAAACTGGCAAAAGAAAAGATGACCCATAGTTGGCAGCTGCCGTTGTTGCTGCAGCATGCACTTGTGACCAGTTTGTAGCATTCTCAACCGCAGGTTCCACATTATACTCTGCATTACCATCTGCATTTTCACCAGCGTTTTCTGGCGTAAAATCAATCTCGCCTGACATCCGGAACCACAGCTTAGTATCGACTGTCGGCAAATCAGACTCTTACTGAAACTGAGAGCTGCAAAAGGAAAAGGAGAAACCCAAGTAGAAGCTAAATGTTGAAATTAAAAATGTTCTTGTCAGAAAGCAACACCTTCTTCTGCTTGCACCTCGTTTTCAAACTGCTCTTCTTCAAGCTGATCTATAGAAGGCTCATCGTCAGGGCCTAGCACAGGAGCTCGACATGTTGGACATGTGTTTTGTCTCTCCAGCCATTGTCTCAGACAGTGGATATGGAAGAGATGTCCACAAGGAAGCTTTTTAGCTTCCACCATGTCCTCACGACACACTATGCAGGTGGCGTCACTACAAAGTTTCGTCAAGTGTTAGCATTGGACGTAGCTGAAGGCCAATCTCACATGAGAATGTTCACTTATTAAATTCAAGTATGAATGCCGGAATTTTAAATGGATCCACGACGAAACAACCATGACCATTGAAGAATGGTCATGGTTGCTTCATCTAGATCAGACGGCATGCAAGAGATTAGGATCAGGTTCCACTAGTATTTTGTGTACGAGTCACAAGAGACCTAGGAGTTAGGTCTTCACCGAATCAGGTCTTCTGCGTTAGCATCTGCAAAACGCTCATTCATATTGTAGGTCAGTCGTCTGTATCGTAAATAATCAGCAATCCGATTTTTGAAGTTTCGAAAAGTTTCATAAAGCTCTCTGACCAAGTGAAGAGGTAAGCCATAGTTCCTGCGTCAGATACAAATTTGGTCAAAGTTTTGTTGACTGAATATGAAGTACGCTAAATCGCTAATGAAGACGAAGTAAGAACCAAATTACCTTGAAACGAGGATAAGAGCGTCTAATACGTATATTGATCTTAGAATACGACATAGAAAGGAGACGTGCTTACTGTGCGAACGAAAGCTAGAACTTGAGGAAAAACTTTCTGAAAATTCACATTGCACAGGCATTGATGACGATATTCACAAGAAACTACCCAGGCAGAAAACAACATCGAGATAAGTCATAAGATGAATAGAACATCTTCAAAAGATTATGTACTACAGAAGAGTAAGGAGTTTCAAACTAGCAAGGCTTTGCGAAATGCATTTTCAGGGACTTTGGAGATGATTACATGAAAATGACGAGGAAGAAAAGAAGGTAGAGGGAGAGGTGCAGTAGATCTTGCACTAGCTCCAGATAGAAAAGGCAAACTGCCTTGCCAGTGAATCGTCCCTCCATGTAGGTGTCTCCCATATGAAGAGCATACTTGATGAAAGTCCCAATTGTGGTCGATACCAGAATTGTGTACCTTCATGACGCCCATAAGTGCATGGGTTACAGACTTTTCACTTTTCTGTCGACACGCGAAGGAAGCACATCTAGACATCAAGTCGAGAAATCAAACGTTCCCGAAGGTCGTAGAAGTGTTTTTTTCCCCAGATTGGAGGAACCTAGCAGATAACTCTGATTTCGAAACAAACGGTGTCGACTTTCGTGATAAGTCTGGAACTGTCTCAGTGTGCCTCCTCTGACCTTCAGAGAGAGGTTCTAAAGAGACTCCAGTGTGTTCTCTACATTCTTCAGACATATTGATGAGGGCAAGTTAAGTGTTTCAGATCAGATATAATGAGGCAATCACTGAGCACGAGCATAGAAGTCTTCAAATGCTTCTTCGGCCCGTCCTTACTATGAGAAACGATGCAGACGATATAACTAACGGATCCTTTCGGATCTAGCACTGGTTTCATTGCTTGAGTGCCTTTAGGGTTATCCGATACATGAAACAAAAGTCCAGTTCCAAAAACATAATTTAAGGAGGATATAAGTTTTGAATGTTCAGAATGTCGATTACAGCAAGTTATTTTCAAGAAAAAGTACTTCACACACAGTGACTGAATACTCAACCAAGTAGAATATATCTGTGTGCACGAAGTTTAGGTAATTTTTAATTATGACAAACAATTCAAAGAGATGGTGGCTTACGAAGACGGCCGGCAGCTCTTACTCAAACGCAAAGAAGAGGGATACGGAGGCTTCTCTGGTCTTAAGTAGGTGGGAGAATGAACGATGGAAAAATAGGCAGTCGAGCGTCAGGAGTAGCGCCATGAAGGTGCAGAGGCGTACATGTGATAGAGTGGGCACAGATGGTGTAGTCTCAATATACTCCACTCTTTTCTGAGCCAGCCAATGGTGCGCTTTCATAAACAGAAGTACCGTGATCAAGAACATGAAGTAGAGACTGAATTCTTCTCTGAAGACAGTCATGGCAAAAAGAATTTCCATAACTTCCCTCCACACCTGTTCATTCAGCCTCTCCACTTCCGTTTCCCTGAGGGGCCCTAAGAAGATCATGTTCACCAATTGCCACAGGCCGCACATCATGACGAAACCCATGTTTAGAAGGAAAAGGAGACTGATTTTGGAGTGCGATAGGTACAGCATAACCGGATAGAATTGCCGTCTTGTGCTGACGGCATGGTATATCACCGCCACGGCACAGGCTGCACTTACTGCAGCATACGTTCCAGGGCTCACCATCGTCCCCTTCGTTGGCCCTTTGAGACCTTCCTTTCGCGAATTATATTCCTTTTTCTTGACTAGCCTTCATCAGATTGTCCAGAACTTCACGGTCAGGAGGGTCATTAAGCCTCGAGTTTTCGTTCCTCCTCACCGATGAACGATCGATTCTCACAAAATCAATCTGATGTCAATGAGTGAATGCACTGGACCTTCCGCTGAAACCCTATCCTGTCTAAAAGAATGTCAACATTTGTTCTTCGAAAGGACTCAAATTGGAATTTGGCAGGCTTTGTTCACGTATCAGTAAGTCGATTAGCACTTTCTCTGACATGATACTTCAGGCAGATTCTTCCGTGCACAGTTCAAGAAGGCGAAGATTTAGGGTACAAGAGCGCCGAATAGACTCCACTGATTACTGATTCTCTTCAGAATTAATTTCTTGGTGGCCTCGTCATTCAGAAAAAATTTTGCAGACCTGATTCCTGCTCAGAATACAATACAACACCTTACTTGGTATCATTTCGGCTCGATACTCCATGAATATGCAGTGAGCAACTTTCAGATCGAAACCTTCTGAGAACTGAATTCTTAGCCAAGCCGCGCCACCACATATGTCTTCCAGAAGCATCCGCAACTTAAAATCCCGCAGTGTTTAACTACCTGAGCTCTAGGATCGGAGTGATTGGTTTACTTTGCAAAAGGCGATGGCATCAGAAGGTCAACTCCAGAGGTTCCAGATCCCATCATATCTCCAGAGATACTCTTACATTTGCTGACGCTGCCATTGCGCTTGGCTTGCAAGTCAATCAATTTCGTAAACGTAAAATCCACTTTCCTTCTTCAAACATGGCCCCACAGGCAGTTCTATGTCCACTCTCGTCATCTGCTGCATTTTGGAGATTCAGAGGGCTCTTATTGTAAACCCACATCTTAATCTGGTTTGCTGGTTAACTTGCAATTCCAGGTCAAGCCTGTCACCCCCTCTCCGCAGTTCATATGTACGTAAATTTGTACATCATAGTTCGTGCTTTCTCGTCTAATCGCGTTTCGAGGGCAACCCAGAAGTCCACATCGGATTAAAAAAATGCCACCTTAGAATTAATTAAAGAGAATATATTTATATGGATATAAATTAAATAGTCACAAACTTACAAAGATATGCTTACTGTACATGCAATACAATATCAATGATCATTTCACAAGAGCTCTACAGCAATTGGCTTAAAGTTGAGGGACTTTAAGTTTAGGGTTCAAACCTGTCAGTCAGTGCAACAAGGCACAAAAGAGTACAGCATCTTGATTTCCTAGTTGCACCTTGACCTTCAGCCGTGGTGCTATAAACCACGTGCTCAAAGCACGCTACGATAGCACACAGTAAGTGCCTTGCCATTTTACTTTGAACAATGGACATAGTAATAGTTCAGGTGAAGGGCGGGGCTTCGCTCACCTCGCACTCGTGCATGCACTCAAGTTTGTTCGGTCGGCATTCCCCACTAAAAGCTACGGCAGAGCAATCAGTACAGGTCACATGGCTTTTTGATGGTCCGGGGTTGGTTGTAGTAGACCACTCCGAAGTCCTGACAATGTCCTTGAGAGGAGGGCAATCTTGTAGGCCAGAAACTTGTATTCATCGTTGTTCTCAGGGCCCCGTGAACAACTCTTATCGAATTTCATTGATCTAACACGTGCCTATCGACACCCCTTTGTGAATTATTGTAGAGCTTCCGTTTCTCGTGCGTAGTACGTTCAGCGAGGTAAAGCTCCCTACTACTTGTTGTTGACCTCAAACCGGGGTGCACCAAAAGGCCAAAATTTGGAAGAATAATCTAAGACTTATATACTAATAGTGGAATCAATAAGCACGCACATCTGTACTACTAAACACCTCTTTCTGACCGTAGTAACATATCTCTAGCCCAGTCTGCTATTACTGTGAACCCTCTGTGGTATAACTTCGCGATTTTTGAAGTATAATCAACGGGGCAGAAAGACACCTTTGATGATAGGGCATCACGTGGACAGGAAAGTCGATGCATTTTGTCATGTTTAGTGTGAATCATGCAAGCTTCCCACCAAGCTTCCTGAACTCCAGATCACGAACCCGACGCCATGTAACAGAAGGACGACCGGTGACCTCATATCATCAAACAATTAATTGCACGGAATGATTGCGCCACCGGGCGAAAATTTCCTTCCGGTAGAGTTTCACAGGCTGTCACATGATTCAGTCTTTTGTATGCCACCAGGGTTGAAAAACATCCTTGAAGAGAGCATTTTTACCATAGTGATGGTCCTACCGGTCATTTCACGAGTTATTTACAGCGTAAGAAGAGAAAGAGTGATCACTGTACCAACCTCCACTTCCAAAGTCTGCGTGCATTTGCAGTACACCTTTTGATCCGTAACTACTACAGTAATCTACCAAAAGCGTTTTCGGTTTGAGAAGTGAGCCATGAGAATCGAGACTGGCATGCAGCCGAGTTGTCATTGCATTGGAACGCAAGAGATGAGCATGAGCAGCTGTTTAGCCTTCAGTATAAGCTCTTTGGTAATTTTTACTCGAAGTAAAACTCGTGACCGGTTCTTCTTTACTAAGTCAAAAACTGTTGGATCAAGAAATGTGCTGAACGCGTGTGATAAATCTCACGCTGATTATAGGTACCTTCTCAGCGTACCCACCTTTGCTGGACTTACTATTTACTATTCACTTGAGTAAAACCTGTGTACAATAGCTACGATGAACAAGGTTTGTAATCTACACTGCCAGAAATGCTAATCTCAAAAAGCTTTTCTGACCATGAGAAGTTTAAACCCTCCAATTCATGCTTCGAAACAGTAAGAACCTTCGTTGGTCCAGCGAAAAGGCCTTTACTCTGAATCCTGCCGAGAAGAGTATCTGCTTCCGTGTCCAGAAAACAGTTGCCTTTACTCGTGTTCTTCGTTGTATGACCAGGGTCAGGAACATGCCACTTTAATAAATCTGCAGCTTTGTTCGCTCCTCTGCAAGTTGCTGATGCAGAAGAAAGGGCAGATACCTAGACATCTGGAATTGACTTGGGCAGTACTATGGGTTCATGTTCAAAGTCATAAGGAAGTAGTGGCAACCATTACAGTGTTCAGACATCTAAACCGGTACATCTAATAGGGCTACGGAGTGAAACGCATTACCTGATTTATTTCGAATATATGCATTTTGATCTGGAGGAGAACGTACCTTGTACACTTTCGTGAGGGCACCTTAAAATATCAAACTTCACAGGACTCGACTGAAAACATGATACTTAGAATTGTATTCAAATGCCTCATAATGGAGTCTGCCAGTGCTAGCAAAACTTAGACACGCCTGACTGACTAATCAGCCAATCACACCAGCGGCAGCTGGAGTGGCCGTGTGATGCCGGACTTCTAGGTTCAAACTTTTTGCGTGGATCGAAGGCAGGTGAAAGAAAGCGGTGCTCAATCTACCGTTTAGAAAAACCTCTGAGTCTCACCCCCGGTTGGGCGGAGTGAGATTGGGAGAAACAGCGGGATCTGTAACAAATGTCCTGGTCCTACCAAACCATGACGTTTTCCCGTCGTGGAGATGAGGATTGATGTTAGGAGGCCTCACCATACCACACTTGGATTTGGGTCCTTTTCCATGGCCGGAGGCAACCCCAGCGAAGGGCATGTTTTCTTGACCGGGCAAGCGCATGGATCGTCGCCCGGGGGGCGTCAAATTGGGAGAAATGGCCGGATCTGTTACGTAAGTCTTGGAGTGACCGAAATACGGAAACTGATAATGCTCGGGAGATGTCAGCGGGGAAATGACTCGATTCTTCTTCGCCTTGCGCTGATTCGCACTCTGCGAGGCTTTCGACCCAGCGCTGCCACCGGAGGCACACGATCCTTTGGCCGATCCCGCCCCACTGCCTCCGCTTCCGGGACGCCCGGACGAAGCGCACGAAGGCGGCTTCTTTCCGCCAGACGGCGATCCCTGTTGCGGACTGCTCTCGATGTACACGGGCCGCACGCAGGCGGTGTCTGGCCTCGCGCCATCGCCACTCTTCGGGCACCCTCCGCAGATCGAGCTCGGCTTGGCAACGCGCGGATCGTGTTTGATCGGGTCGCAGGCCTTGGCGGAGCCATGGCACGTCGGGCTGGCGTTGGCCGAACTGCTCAACGGGCTCTTGGAGCGCTGCGAGCACGGCGATTTGATTTTCCCGCACGGGCCGCGCTCCAGCTCTCCGTCGTTGGGCCACTTGACATTCGCCGCGCCTGGCGCGCACGCCAGGCCCTGCGCGGCCGCGGCGCCCGGCGAGAGGTCCCGCGCGCTCCTGTGGCGGCACACCTTCGCGCTTCGGAGCCCGCTCAGCAAACTCGAGGCGCCCTGCAGGGTTTCGGCGGCGTTGCACGCCGACTGCGACTGCGACATGGGCCCGGGCGACCACTTGGCCATGCCGCCTTTCTCCTTGGGCCACTCGGTGGGCGGGCTCCAAAGTCCGTCCGTGGTGTGCTTGTGGGGCGGCCGGTCCACCTGTTGGTAGTCGGCCATGACGCCCTCTGGGACCTTACCCAGCGGATGCAAGCGGTCGTTCGAGTACCGCATGATTCGTTCCTCGTTCTCATCCATCCGCGGCCGCGCCTTTCTCCCGTCGGGCCTCCAGCCCGGAGGGTCATCCAGGATCTTGCTAGTCTGCGGAACGATCACCTTGCCGTCCGCGTCTCGCTGCAGTTCCACGTAGTTGGCCATCACTCCGGGCGGACACTGGCCCAGAGGTCGCTTGGCCTCCGACCGGCTGTGGCCGGCGACCACCTGGGCGAGGATGCCCCCTCCTCCGGGTTTCATCGGCTCGGGGTTCGGGTCGTGCCTCCTCGAAGGTGACTTCGGCGGGGACACCGGCTGCGGTCTGAGCAGCTTCCCGTTTTTGTCTCGGACCAGCGGGACGTAGTCGACCATGGCTCCCGTCGGGCACTTCCCCAGAGGCCGAGCCGCGTCCGAGCGGCTGAAGGTCTCTTCGATGCGCGGCGGGAATATGTTGTAGTCCGTGACGTCGCTCTTGGGCCGGCCGTAGAACTCTTGGGCCTCTCCCTCGGGGGCGATCGGCGGGATGATGCGCAGGTGGTCGGAAATGTCGGTGGCTTCTCTGCCGTGATAGTACTCCCGGGACGGCGGTTTCCTGCCCCTGCTCATGAAAGTGTACATTTCCGTCACATCCTGCGCCTGACGGCCGTGCCATTCATTGGGTGCGTCACGCAAATCCGGATGTGCGGAATGGGTGGGAACCGGGGGGTTGAGTCTTTGGGTGACGCTCGTGCTTCTGAGACCGTGGTACAGCAGAGCCGGGTTGACGTCGTTCTTCGGAGTGTCGTCCCACGGACAATGCAGCTTCGGTAAAATGTGCGCATAGTCCGTCACCAGGTGCCGGATGGCCTTTTTCCGTTTGGCTTCATCGGCCACCTTGAACCCCTTGTGGTACATTCCCGTCCTGTACTGGGCACGGTCCTTCGTTATCCTCGTACAGTGCCTCGGCCTCGGAGTCCATAGGTATGTCACCATCTTGCAACCCCCTCAGGAGCCTGCGATCGCACGAGGTAATGGAGGAAACAGGAATGATCGGCTCGCTGAACCCTCAAGCTGATTTGTTTCCCATCTTCTTTCTGTACCTCAGGCCTGCTCCCAACCGCAGCTGAAGCCTCTGCTTAGAGCTGAGATTGAGGCACAAAGCTTCGGTGTTCTTCTGTCAGTGCAGCGGTCTTCGTCTCTTCTATTCGCAGAATCCATTTATGTCCGCATTTGAAGGTGCCCCTGGTTCCTTCCGTGTTTTAGTGTTTAATCTCTGCGCGAATATGCTCTGTTTCTTGGCCGTGATAAAGCACTCTTGAGCCATCTCGTCTTCGAGCGGTTTGAGTAGACCAAACTGCAGAGTTCTCAACTCCTGCAGTTGGCAATTCTCAAGTGAAACCCGTATTCAAAGGAGTTTCTTTGGTTAGCTCTTTGTTTTCTGCTCCTTTCCTATGATTGACGAAGACCGCGATCAAGTCCTCATGACCTTTACCCATAGATTCTTGTTTGATTACATCGTGCACCCATGCCAGTTGAACATGCCTCGAAGCTCAATTTGAAGACCTTGTCTTATGCGTGTGCTGGGATCAATTTCGTGCTGAAGTTCCGAGTACATGAAGGACCAGAACCTTCGTTTGCATTTCTCACACTGATCCGCGACAACTGCTGCTTCGATCTCTGTCTGTGACGAAGAACTTTGCTTGAGTACTGCTTCTGGCACTGCACGATCGCGGAGACTGGTGGTTATGAGCGACTTATGTCAACTTCAACTTTGGCACCTCCAATACTTGAATTCAAACGCTCCAATAAGCCAGCGCTGAAAATTCCAGGATAAGTCGCCGGCCAGTAAGAATTTTTGTTGCCTGAGCAAGAGCCGACCATTGCATCATCTAAAATCTCCACATCACTGGTTAGCTAATCTACAGGACCCTGTGGAAGAGAATAGGCATGCGTGACCACTACAGATCCGTAATTCTAATAGCTGTGATCAACCCGACAAATTGGACTCCCTAAGAAAATGATTTGTAGGCTCAGGACCAAAGAGAGAAAGATGAGCGTAGATGTGAACAGATATGCCAACTTCAGCTTTACCTACATCGCTAGATTTGTCGATGTACTACCGTGAGATTACGTCTTACTCGAGCCTGAAGTCATTATTACATAGGAAGAACGGAATGAACATAAAGGTGAATCTTCAGGCCGAAATGTCCTCGAAACCATCGAAAGATAACAAGAAGGTGCTGCTAGCGGGCAACAAAGATACCCATTTACGATCCGAACATGGAAATGTATGTAAAGGGAGACACCTACTCAGGTCAGAATGAACTCGCCAGAACAGCTCGATCACTCGGATTCCGGATCAGGACACGCATCTCAAGCTGCCGCGCTATGTGCAAACCGAAGGCAGGATGCTCCTCGAGAGCAGCTGCATTTCCAGCCAGCCACTACTGCTGCGGCGCACTGCGCGGGACTCGAATGGTAACAACGAGATTCGAGTGAAGTATGCGGTTTCTGATCTGTGAGGGCGACTGCAGCTGACGCCAGTATGCCTTCATCGACTTCGGAATCCTCCTGGACTCTCGCGGGGAACTCTGGACGCAATGGCATCCAGAATTCCAGAGCTTCGACACGTAACGGCCAAGTGCAGGTAGCCGAACGATCAGACTCCAATCGACGCGATCGAGTTGGCCACGTCAGCCATCCGTCCGGAGACCCAGGCAGTGACTAGGACTGCAACTGCCGAAAACACGCGCGCCCCTTCTCGGGATCTCGTCCGATCGCATGACCGAGTCGAGTTAGCATGACGTTCGGCCACCCTATCCGCCGGTGCTCCACCCTGGACGTTTTGTCGTTGGTAGGACTGTGCGAGCTCCGCCTTTCCCCTTCACTGTCGTGTTATCGAAGATTGGGCAACGAGTTTGCTTCAGTTGTGAGCTTTGTTGTGACACTCTACCCACAAGGAGTGTTCGCTTTCGTGGCCACCAGGATAGCAGGTACATTCACACAAATTTGGAATCCAAAACTGATCAAAATTTTCTAGCCTACATTGAGTATTTTTAAATTATTGTAGCTTATGAACAAATTAGTGTACTTTTAGTACTCTTTTTATGTGGATAGTATCTGTTGAAAATATTAAGATATACATAATGTACGATTGATATTGTGACTTTACCAATTATGACTCAACGATGTTCTAATAAACATAGTTGATAAAAAAAGCATAATTTTTAAATTATGTAAAATTTTCATTACACTCTAACTTATTATAATCTATAGATAAACAACATATAAGAATTAATATCAAGAATTTTATTAAAATTTCAATTTTAATTTATATCTGGGAATGTTTCTTAACAATTAATTTTTAGATAAACTTACTTCTCGACCTGAACTAAGACATTAGGAAACCACACTGCAAAAAACAATTGTCCCTTATAGACAAGCTCAATTTGACTTATAAGTACATACAACATGAAAATATGAATGTTTTTTCGAATTTTTAAAATTCTTTTAAATATCATAAATATAATTATATAATATATTAAATTAAATATATAATTAAAAATTAATTGAACGTCTAGAGTAGACAGTAAAATATCAAATTCTAACAAAGTTTTGCTCTACTGAATTTTTAAGTATTTTTTTCCTAATTTAATATTTAATTATACTGTTTTTTCAGAAAAAAAAAATCTACGTACGACACATCAAATAGCATGTAATTTGCAAATGAAACGCATGATAAACAGAATCATATTTAGATTTTCAAATTCAAATAGTTAAATTAAATCATATTTCCAGACTATACATAAAAGATTCAAAATTTAAATTATAAGAATAATTTTGAAAATAATTTTTTAATTAAATTTTATGTGATTTAAAAATATAAAAATATAATTTTAATTATAAACGGTTTATTTTTATGTAATAAATGAGGTTTAAATCATCAATTTGAACATTAAAATAAAATTTTGAATGTGATATAATAATTTTTATGATTATTGAATTTATCAGTATTATTATGCTAAATTTATTAAAGAAATGCCTTTAAAAAAATTGGATATTAATTGACTTCAAATTTTATTCTTTATATCCAAAAAAATTAAAATATATACTATACTTACATAACCCAAGTTATGAATATAAATTTCATATGTGTTAATGGTAGAAAAATAAACTATCACATATAAATATGATCATGTAATATGATCATTACATAAATTATACAAACTATAGATACATGTAACAAATATTAAAGTTTGAAAGTTCAAGCTTAGTTAATACCACGATAAAAAATTTTGGGAAAAAATCTCATCAAAAATTAAATAAAACCTTTTATCGTTTTAAATTCTATATTTGAAAATAATACTTTAATGTCATTTTTTTATATCTATTCTTGTATGTAGAAGCTTTCAATTTCGATGTGAAATAAATTTTCATGAAATATATTGATTTAATTCGATGTGAAATAACAAAATATCACATTGAAATATTTCTGAAACAACTTGAATACATCATACAAAATTTATTGAATTGTTGTAAGAGAAATCTTACAGCGGTTTAGAATCTTCAATTAAGCAAAAAAAATGTTTTGAATTGTCGGGTTATTTTTGCATGCATCAGTATGAAAATATTACAATTTAATTGAGTTTTATTTGAATTACAGCAAATAAAATAATGATAAAAAATATTTCAATAAAAAACACGGATAAAAATTTGGTTGTCATTAACTTTCACAATTTAGTAATAAGCTATCAAAATTATGGAAAAACAATTTGATTTTTTAATTAAATACTAAATATTATTTTTTAAAATATTATGTTGAAAATAAAATTTTTTTGGGGGAACTTACATGACATAAGATTTATATTTTAATAATTTTGAAAAGATAAATGTATGAAAGCAGTGAATGATCAGCTTATTTTTTATGGATATTAAATATCAATTCATTGATACAATTAACAATTCAAAGACTTATTCGTGATGAATGTGTGTATTTTTGTTTTAAATCAAATATTAGAAAATGATTGTTAGCATAGATAAACATCAAATTCTTTATCTGGCAATCTGAGAGCAGATATATATATAATTTTGAATGATCATGATATAATGAAATTGATAGATGAATGTGTCAATTTATCCAATCAAAATATTGAAAAGTTTTCATTTTTAGTGTTCAATCTACAAATAAAAAATGTTCTATTGTAAGTTGTAAAGTATATCAATAAAACTAATGAGCTGATCCTAGATTCTGTTTGTTTCTTTATTTGTTTCTATCAACAAACAAAAATTAGAATATTTTAATTATTAAAGCGATAAAATTAGATTAAAAAATTAATGTTTTACATATAAGAAATAAAATATTATAAATATGAATATAAAGATACAAAGATTTAAAAACATGCTATAGTATAGAATAAAAGTAAATTTTCTAAATAAAATCACAAGATTTTTGTCTTTAATTTTAGTGAATGGATTAAGTTTTGTTTATATTTTTGTAATATCCTAAAAATATAATTTTTATTCTATTTATAATTATATATGATATTAATTCCATAATAAATAAATCAATAAAAAATATATCTTAAAAAATCGAATTTAATGAGTAAATTTTGTCATAAGTATGTAAACAAGTATTTTATTCATATTATAATGAATAAAATGAACTGCACTAGTTCCCTTTTTTTTAATTTTTTTGAGATATATATTAATATGTTGTAGAACTATAAATCTATGTACATCTCAACATACAAATATAAATAATCATCACATGAAAAACTTTTCAATCTTATTTGTATATGATAAAGCTCAAGCTCAAATAACTTGATATCACTTATAGGAGTATAACATTAAATCATGAACAAACTTTCACTTTTCACATTTTATAATAAATGATATGCACTTAGTTTGATAATGATGAAATATGAATAATAAATACAGATATTGAGATGCACAAATAATCAGATATCAAGTTTTTTATCATGATGATAAAGTAGCTCATATAATGCACTTAAAGTAACGAAACAAAATCTATTGAGATGCAAAAGAATCAGAACTAAATTGTTTCTTACCTCGTTGAACTATATTATACATCTCATTGGAATAATGATATAATATATACTTATCGATAACTATTGAAATTTTCATAGTTATTGTGCAATGCATCAATATGTGCGTTGAGTCAAACTCAAATACCACCCCTGTACTAATACATTGAATCAATATATCAAATAGCAAATTTTGAAACTTTTACAACTTACTTATTATTGAATATATTTTAGAAATAGACTGATTCAACTTTAGCGGAAATGTTGTCAAGATAAGAATAATATTTTAGATATTTAAAATAAAATAAAATCATTTATACAAAATTTCTCATTTTTAGATTCAAAATTTGATAAATGATGAACAGAAATTGTGAAAAAAGAAAAAGGATGCAAAAAAGGTCACTATTGTCGCATATCAATGTGTGTGTGTGTGTGTATATATATATATATATATATATATATATGATATTGTAATAAATATTTTTCAACATTTAATAAATGCATATGAAAAACATTTTATTTTGAAATATCATATCATCATTCATAATGTTTTTACAATATGATTTCCTTAGAAGATATAGAGATGTAATATTTTAATTTTGTATTTGTATGTACCTTCATAAGAAATAAATAAAACATGAGATCTTGTTCCAACTTTTAAAAAGGTAAATATGTTTGATTAATTGCTTACTTTTCAAGGTTTATAAGTGTCTTGAAGTTTATTTTTTTATTAAAGTTTAATTTATGAATAACAAAAGATATATAAAACAATGTTTCGGAAATCCATAAATCACTCCTTTGATAGAAACTAAATGACCGTAAACCTTATCCAATCAGTATCTTGGATTAACATGCGGTTTCTTACAAGGTATAATTGATTGAAAACGTGTCATAGAAAGAAACTGATTTTTAGGCAGGAAGAACGACAAAGTAGCTAGTTTAGCTGAGAAATAAGATTAGAAAATATAACTATCAATTTTGTATAAGGTGAGATACGCATTTAACACTTGCTGATTTATAATGACATTTCTAACATGGAGAGAGAAAATTAGGATCCGATGGTTCTTAGACAACTTTAAAGAATAATTACAGTTCATGTTTGTAATACCCCAGCACTAGACTGACTGTTTTAACTTTATACATATAAGAATCTTCAGTAAAATCTTCATTTTTTTTCGAAAGAAGAGGTTTTGTTGATCTTATTTCTCAGGCCAATGGTGGTTGTGAAATGTCCATATGATCAGTACCATTGCAAGGAAAATTGAATTCTAGAGATCAGTTGTGTTGAAGTTAATTTCATTATAAATTGTTGGCTAAGTGAGTGGTAGGTAAACTGCGTTGAGAAACATATCAGCTCCAATCTTTAGAATGCAGGAAATTTTGATTACCATACTTCGTTGCATGGACCTTCTTTAATGATGTCGATTTTGCAATTCACATATATGTCCATGGTTTAATCTAGTAATTTTCGATACATCTGAATAAAATCGTCCGTAACTTTTAACATTTACAAATCAAATTTTCTTCGACGAGTTATGAAAAATGTCAATTCCAAAGGTCCGACATCTGGCTTTATGTTATTCTATGGAGCAATTCTTTGCAATAAACATTTCTAGGTGGATTAGAGAAACATATTGTCCTATAGTATAATCCACAGGTCCAACCTAATAGCCGGTGGACCCATCAGACCAACGAAGGTAGATGCCTTTATTGATTGTGCTAAATACCTTTGTAATGTTCACGTTCATCAATCTACAAAGCTTTCGATTCATGAACTTGCGGGAATGTTCGTTCTCAGATTTCATAAAACGATAAATAAGACAATTTACCCCGTTCTCAAATGTATATTTCTCATAACACCATGGGTTTACCTTTTTCTGAGTTCAAGGTTGATTTAAGAAAGCCAGTTTAAATTCTCCATAAAAATTTCAAATAAGAAGAAGAATATTTCAGTTAAAGTACATGACGCATGAGCATTGAGAAAAACTTAACCAAGTGTAATTATATATGTAAACTACGAGCATTGGATCATGCGACATATTTTGATTCGATATAGAGATTCATTGTTATTTTTTATCAGATCAAACAGCTATGATTATTTCATCTTCTTGCTTTTTATTTTATGCATTATTGATTAACCATACGCACATATATATTTATGGTTCTATGTATTATTAATTATTGTTTGGAGAGATCAAACTGCACTTAGATTTTATGTTTTCATCTATTTCCGAGTTTTGCAGTTTTTTTTTTCAATAGAACAACGAGGGAGTAAAATCTAAGAGACGGAAGATACATAAATGCTTTGCAGCGGTACTAGTCTATGGAGACTAGTACCACTTTACGGATTAACATCATAAAGGGAAACTTAGCAGTTAAGGCTAATTCGTCTTGTACTCCAGATGGATATTAATCGCTCTTTGAACGCATTAAACAAGTTCATAGTTTGTTGCATCTGTTGTAACGGACGATGAATCTTGAATCTCCACTGAAAGACCGACATAATAAATCGTATATGATCACATAAGTCTGATGACATTTCTACGATCTCATTCTTACATAGTTTCAGTAATAAGACTTACCTTGACCTCTTGTGAACAGAAAGACATGCCTACGCATCTTACCAAATGAGTCTGTGCCTAACTCCTCGTTCTGGAAGAAACAAGGAGACTTCGTGCATGATGCATCCTCCCATCCTTGCCAATGTAGAGGTGCACTGTCTGAGAGTGCTGTTTTTTAATACTTATGTTTCTGTAACCGGAAAGTAAGCAAGGATTGGAGGTAAATAATAACCATAAGCGAGTCAAAGTTGACCCTAAAACCTCCATCCAACCCCACACACACAACTATATTGTATTGACCTCGTAGCCCTATGGCCAATTAATTTACAATTTAAAAATCGAGAGGGTTGCATTTCGGAGTGAACTAGTGCCCTTCGGTGGCTAAGTGAGAACATTCCGATGGGGAACTGTTTCTGCGCTATGAATCTCTCATCAATTATGGCCTTCAAGTAATTATGAAAATAATCATATTGTCCCATTATAATAGAAGGCAAAGATTTGTGATTCAATGTCCGTGTATCGAGCTTGGGATGGAAATTATTATGCGAATAGGATTTCAGCTTCTTCAATTGAAGAGTAGAGTTCATTTTTTCTCCTGAAAAATCCCGGCCGAAGGATTGAGGAAAAAGAAGCACGAGTGAAGAAGGGGCCAAGTGTGTGGGAGGAGTTGGGTATACCCCATCAAACCCTGCAAAAAAGGAAAGAAACGAACGAATAAAGTAAGGACTGAATCACATATTGAGAATATTCATAGAAAATTTATAGTCTACTAAATTTAAGGACTGAATCACATATAGATTATATTTGAAAAATGAAAAAAAAAGAACGAAAACGAAAGAAGAAAAAAAAAAATGATTTTCGTAGTGAGAGTACGTCATAAAATTTCGGTAGTATAATAAATATCTAGATTATATTTTTAAAAATAGCAAGATGAATTACAAAGTGTAAAAATGATGCAGTCCATGTCTCGTTCAAAGCCGGAATAGAAGCAACGAAGAAAACCTTGTCTTGCATAGTGGACTTCACTTTTTTCGGAATGACGAAGGAAACGAGAGCTGGAGCCAGGTGGGCCGGGGACGGAAGTACTGTAGAGACGGAGTAGGGCAGATCGGTGGATGCATCCGCACGTTTCCGTCGAGTCGGAGCGACGGACGGAACGGAGGCCAGTGCGCGGACAGCGTCGGAAGGGAGAGGGAGAAAGGCCCAAGAGACGAAGGGGAGAGCGAACGAGACGAAAGAGCGGAGCCCTGAGCTTGGACAGGACCGTCGACCGCCATAGCTCAGGAGCTGTGCTCCGCTGCGCATTGTTTTGTTTGGAGCTCGTACGCGAGGGGAAGGGAGGCAGGCAGGCAGGCAGCAGGCACGCACGCACCGCGCGAAGAGCAGAAGGAGCTCGATCGGATCGCTCGGGCCACGGGGTTCGCAGATCTCAGCATTGAAGGGCACAGGCGCGAGACCGCTGTTCGATCGGGCGCCCTGTGGCGTGCAGTGTGGTGGAAATAGGGGAATTTTGGAGGGCGTAGGTGTCGTAGCGTTAAGATCTGGCAGATCACAGCTGCAGGTTTTGAGGGGTAGACGATGGCGGAGTTCGAGTATGGGGGCGGAGGCGAGGATCTTAGTGGGACTCGACCCTTCGAGTCCGATTACATGGGTTATGATCCCAGGCTGCCGTCTCAGCGCTTCGATTCCTCGCAGAGGTTTGATGAATCGTTCCGAGCACCCGACCACTTCGCTCCGACCTTCGGCGACGAAGTGAAGGAAGATGGAGAGGACGAGTACAAGAGTGCCAATGGCTTCGGCTACCACCACGCAGATCCCCCGCCCAGCTATGGTTATGAGGACGACGGTGCCGGCCGCCCCACCGAAGCTCCTTCGGCTTACGTACCTACTTTCGAGCCAGATCTGCAGAATGACTTCGGTGGAGAAGTGAATTACTCATCCGCACACCCTGTCTCAGGAAACGGCTTTGGCGCGAACGATGACGATGATAACCTTTTCAGCAGTCTGCCTGCAGGAAACGGTCCAATTTTACCCGAGCCTGAAGATATGAGAGAAGAAGGTTTTGCGCTAAGGGAGTGGAAGCGGTAATGTCGAATGCACCTGAACTCTGATCCCCACAGCTCAGCTTGATAGTTCCCTTGGGGTTCCTCATCTTCTGTTTGCTTTTTGGCCTTGCATTGTTGCCGAGTGGTTTTTTCTGTTGTTTTGTGTTCCGATCTCGAGGCCCGCTCGGTTTAGTACTTTAAACTCGATCCCCAGCTTCTTGAACAGGTGTTTAGGCGGACTGATGCCCTTTAAAATTGTCCGTTAGCACTTTATCTAGCTTATATTTTCGAACATATCATCATAACACTGGTTTGACACGCATCCTTTTGTTTTTCTTACTGGCAGTGAGAATGCTATTCGTCTCGAAGAGAAGGAGAGGAAGGAGAGGGAGAAGCTTGCGCAAGTAATCGAGGACGCAGACTATTATAAGGACGAGGTGTACGTGAAGCGTAAGACGACTATGGAGAATGGAAGGAAAACTAATCGCGATAAGGAAAAGGTGGAATTTTTAAACGACCATATTTCAAGTAGTAGTGTGGAAGTACCAGTTTGACTTTTTCACTCATTTCAGAAGATTGAATGATAGCCAGCTCTCGCATCATGATCTGGATGTTTTTCTCTCGAGTAGGATGTATGTCTTGGTTCTTTGTGTGTCAGAGTCCATCCTTGATTCATTTCTCGAGCCCTTTACGCAACCCGTTGCTGAATCACATTCTACAGTCAAGTTACCCTATCCTTCCATTTCGAAGTTTGCCATCTTTGTCTAGGGGAACAATCTGCAAATCTTGAATTCATTTATCGGTACTGTACTATTCTATCCCTTCTTGGCATGAAGGAACACCCAGCTCCTGAAGAAATACCTGTGTCCATGTGTGCTCTCACGTCCATAGTCCTGCTCTTGTCCCATGAGCATGTTGCAGTGCGTATTGCGTCTTATCTGGTGTTGTGAACTTTGTTTGAGAGGTCTACAGAGGTCATAGTGGGCCCCCTCTTTCGGGACTATCCTGTACTTGTAACAACTTTGCTGCCACTGTAGATTTTATAGTTGCAAATACTAACTTCAACTCCTTCAGTCACATGTAGATCCTGGATATCGTGGTGTACTATCGTGTCGGGCGTCCGTATTCTTCTTTGTTTTCTATGAGTTTTCTGATCATAGTAGGCAGTTGAGGCGAGTAGAGTTTTTGATGATCTGGTTCTTTTCACTGTCGTTTTAATTAACGGCTGCGGGTAACCGTAAAGTCATAAACGTCGAGCAGATGTTTTATCTTTAGGTATGATCTCAGGTACATGTTAGATATACTCTTATACTAAGATCCTGGAACAGATGATTACTTTTGAGGTATGATCTCAGGTGCAAGTTAGATATACTACTATGCCGGAATCCTGGACATTAGTGTCTCAATAGAATACATAGTGCAGATCGGCTACTCTCGAGTATCATGGAAACTCGTGACGAGGTGTACTGGCGCTGACCTAGTTCCCTCGTTGTGCGCTGTTGATGTATTGGCTTTTCTTTCTATTTTACCCTCGCCACGATCAGACTGTTCCGGTATTATTCCATAGACAGGTGCATGATGATTGTGCACGAACAATATACACTTCAGCGATACGCGCATAGTTGCCTCTAACGGGCTACTGGGAATTTGTTTTTAGCGTTTGGGCTCGAGTCCCATATACATCTTTTGTTTTACCAACTCTAATTTGTTTTCTGGATTTCATCTGTTCTTATTTCTGGATTTGGCAGATACTTGATCAGCTAATACTAAGTATTTAAATGCACGTCCTCGTCTATTTTATTTTGTTACCTTTGCTTGTTGTGAGAGTGAGTAATTTTGGTGCGAACATTCCATCACATAGTACTTAGTGCAGGTAAATAGAATAAAGTATGCGGGAAGATCCACTGTGTAGCCCTGAATCGGATGGATTCTGCCTCTGCTTCTAACAAAGGCGAATGCGACGTGGAATTACGTGGTCATGGCAGTGGACAGAGAGCCAGTTTGAGAACTAGTCCACAGGGGTAATTGTTCATCATGTCTTACCATCAGCTCCTGGAACACATCTTTGTGTGTTTCGATTCGACTAATATACGTGGAAGGTCTGCTGGTTCAAGAACAGCCGGAATTGATTAATCTTGGCTGATTTATTAATTCTTGTCAACCTTTTAACCTACGTAATACTATGTCGTTTTTGGGGCGGTACATTCAGAGGAAATGGGGGAAAACTTTACTTAGCTCTACGTAATACTATGTCGTCTTTGGGGCGGTACATTCAAAGGAAATGGGGGAAAACTTTACTTAGCTCTATGAGTCAGGATGTCGTCTTTGATCTGCTAGATTCTTATACTAAGAAAGTGCTATGTTGAATGCTACAGGTTTTTCTGACCAACCAAGAAAATTTCCACAAAAATGCTGATAAGCAGTACTGGAAAGCTGTAGCAGAGCTCATTCCCAATGAGTTGCCAACTATTGATACTAAAGGCCCCACCAAAAAGGACAAGAAGGACAAGGAGAGGAAGCCTTCGATTGTAGCCATCAAGGGTCCAAAGCCCGGCAAGCCTACAGATGTGACTAGAATGCGACAAATCCTTGTGAAGCTGAAGCATACTCCTCCCCCTCACATGAAGCCGCCACCACCACCCCCAGCTCCAGTGGCCGAGAAGGACAAAGATGCGAAAGCAAAGGATAAGGACGGTAAGGAAGTGTTGGAGAAGGACGCTAAAGACAAGGACGCTAAGGATAAGGACGTTAAGGAGAAAGATGCCGCTGCTGTACCTGCAGAGGGTGAAGCTGCTGCTGCTGCCCCGGTAACTGAGGCTACGACTGAACCCGAGACACCAGCTCCAGCAGCAGCACCAGCGGCAGCAGCTGTGACTGCCTAAACTCAGGTGATATTGGTCGCAAGTAGCGTGATCACTTGCTTTCGTGTTCGTAACAGCACTGATTGTCTTTCTGGAAGGAGGTTCACACGAAGCAGGTGTCCCATTTTTCCATTTGTCTTCAACCACCATTATGCTTGGCGCAGATAGAGAATATGGCATCATCAGAGGCCCACAGTTAACTTCATTTACAGAGACTGGGTTGACTAGGACATCACCACTGTGGATTTGTGAAAATCATGTACCTGCGATAATTTTTTTAGATGAGGCTGATCTCTTCTACTCAGATTCTGGCAAGTAGACTACGACGATCTTTGAGAGAGTGAAGATTGAATGCCTTGCAGATCTTTGTTGTAAAGAGGAGGGAAGGGTCTGAATGAGATTCACACACCAGTATTTTTCTGTGGCGGGTAGGAGCAGGCAAGGCAGTTGGTTGTTGTATGCTCCACACCCCATGGGAGTTCTCGGGTTATCATAGCTGAACACACGCTGGAGGAGTCGTAATTCATTCAGCATCTGCTTTATCTCCATTTCTGATTGTCAAGTCCTTGTTCTTAACAGGATGATCATTCCCAAGATGGAATGCCAAGTGTAATAAGAGGCATAGTCTAGGTTTGAGATTCCTGAGTGAGTTCCTCAGGCACGAATGAGTTGCGTTCTAGGGTCTTACTGTTACTGATATATCTCGTAAACATAAAGTAAGTCACATTGACCAATTTTCTCTGTCGCATCAAGCTGTCAACATTTGAGTGAAGGCAAGTCAGATGTTTTGCCACTAAGTTTTGTGTATTGAAACGTTCCGTACGAGAAGTATAGTGACGGAGGTGGTCGCTTGGTGAGGCCAAACATGCCTATAGAGAGCTCATGTTTGCTGGTCCCACTTGCGTTCTAGGGTCTTATTGTCACCGATATGTATCGTAATCATAAAGTAAGTCACATTGACCATTTCTCTCTGTCGCATCAAGCTTTCAACATTTGAGTGAAGGCAAGTCAGATGTTTTGCCACTTAGTTTTGTGTATTGAAACGTTCCGTACAAGAAGTATAGTGACGGAGGTGGTCGCTTGGTGAGGCCAAACATGCCTACAGAGAGCTCATGTTTGCTGGTCCATCTTTTCCATCCACACCAATTGGATGTACGTCATGCTATGTTGTCTGGCCGCAGCTTTCAATCTTCTTAGGAGTGGCCCTCTGAGCTCAAACAAATAAGAATGGAGGGGCCAGAGCGGAACATTTTTCTACGAATGGATAATGCCCTTCGTCTTCCAGCTAGTGGATGACGAACTCTTCTTAGTAACTTCAGATTTTCTTAGAAGGATATCTTCATCATGTTTTGCAGATGTTACTTGAAGAAAACGGAGTTCTAGGAGGTTATGCCAATTGTAAGGTTGTTTGATTGGCGAGATTGGAGGGAAGGGAATCTGGCTTGGCACGATTGATATGTGTGTCACTGCAAAGCTCGATGTTGAGATGTGTACCAGATGTGCGCAAGAGTCCCAGGGTCGGTAAATAACTTTGATGTAGTCTGAATGTTAATGAGGAAGCTGAGGAAATCAACTAGATGGTTGAAGTGTCTAAGTAAAATTGCACAAAACATCCTACGCTATTGAGGTCTTTATACGGCCACATCACTGGAAGTTTTCTTGCCTCTCAAAGGCGCGGACGTCGAGTATGTCTTGACATACCGCTAAAGAATTATTAATCAGTCCTATCACACAGTGAGCTCTGTGAGATGGATGGATGTTCACAACTGATTTTTGCTTAAAAATACCACAAATTTGACTCCTGTGTATTGGGCGGCTTGTTGCAGAATTCCAAAACCTTCTCATGTGCCACATAGATACAATTAAACGCAAGAAAAGTCTTTATGCACGTCCTATGACAAGACTAATCCGTAAGTTAATAGCGTGGCAACTCTGGCGGTCACAACCACGCCTACGCAACGTCTACCACGCCTACCACAAGACCCCTGATCGTGGCAAACAACACGTTGCTAATGACGGCCAGACTCTTAGTCTCTGAATTGAAAAATAACAGGTGGAATTGACGATCTTTCACAATTAATTATCTACGACACGTGGAAAAAGTGGCCTTGGGTTCAATTTGATATGAGAAGAGAAGAAACTTAATAGAATGTTTGCTTATACTAGAATTAATGAACTCTCAGGTTAGGAACAAAGTATTGTATACAGAAATCTACTGATTTAAATTTTTTGTTATAGTTCATTACGTAAATTGTGATTAAGAATATTTCATGGATAAATGCTCAGAGCTAATGATGAAATGTGACAATGAATATTCCTGTTGTTCGTTTATGAAGGCAAAGACCTAATGAGAGTTAGTAAAGAGTATTGCATAGATAACTTAAGTGATATCAGGAAGTTGTAATAGGAGATTATATTATATATGTAAATGAAAATCCATTTGTCCATTGATCAAGTGGTCACTCGACACATTGCCATAAATGAAGTCTTATTTTGTTGTTGTTGTTATTTATGCAACAGTTTTGTAAACATCATGCTAGAGATGCAACACAAGGAGCATGTTAGTTGATCTTGTTGCACATAATAATACTTATGATAACCATTTGGATACTAGAACTGGAATTTTTTAAATTTTTTTTATAATGTCTCATACATAAATATAATTAGTTTATGTTAAAGGTTAAAGTCAGTTAATCGGGCTTCCATCATTCACTACGATCTTTTCACCATTTATAGCAGTGGTAGTTATAGGTTCTAATTTGATGTTGGCTCTCTACGACTAGATTCATGATGAAGTTTTTTCTTCATAGTGCTTTTGTTGTGCTAAGGTTGTAATTCCATTTCTCATGATAAAGTACACACAATCTGGATAATGTAAATTATATTAGCTATATATTTGATTACCTAGTTCATTTTCTAGGCTTGAGTTTCAAATGTCAAAACATGATCTTTTTTGAAAATTTATCACCTCTAGCTTTGAGTACACGAGTAGATGGTTATGCATGCGTTGTGTACAATATCGACCACATTTTACAACATGAGTTTATATTTTTCAATATATAGTTTCATTTTTTCGGCTTGATTTAAAGGTTTCAAAGTATAAGTCATGATGGACTCAAAGCATTTTTCAGCTCTAATTTTAACAATATGTACGAATCAGCATATGGTTCATGCAATCTTATGTGTTTATTGGATTAGAGTATTTTTTGTAGGTTTTGCCTTTTTTCGAGAATGTAATATACATAAATACTCTTTCAATGAGTTGGATATACTCTTTTATGATATTGCTGTGAGTTCAAATTTTTTTTTTCCCTTTCATTCAGTAGTAGTACCCTATTCATTGCAATTCTACTGATCATCTATTATTTCGCGAGAAGAGGTTCTACCAAACTTGGAAATATTGTTTGTTGAGCTCGGACAAGTGAAATTCTGGCTGCTCTGGTTGCCAGTGATCAAGCGAACCTTAAATTTTGAAGAATTATAACGACATATAATGCTTCAAGAGTACCATAAAACGATTTTGTCGCTGAGAAATTTTGATTTCCTCCAATTACGTCGTTCACAAACTGACGTCATGAATGGTTTGTCACCACAACACCGACCTCTCATTGAAGAGTATTCTTACCTGCTAATATTCGTTGAAGTACAGTACTCAAACCTCTCGGATTCTCCTCACACACTGTCATACACCTTAATCATCTTTGGATCCGCTGAGATCTAATTACTGAGTTATAAGTCTGAGGAAGCTCTCAGGCTAGTACTATGCATAGGACTGCAGCAGCACATGTCTAATCGTTTGATTAGAATAGTGAAAATATCGTATCTGATATAGACAAAATCTCATCTCACGATACTGTCGAGGCCGGATGTACTTCTGGGGGTTTATGGGTATTCCCATCATTTGACTCCCTTCTCTTGATACAAGTCTTGGAGGCTGCCTAGTTCAGTATCATGAAGTACATCCGAAGTAAAAGACTGGATCTCTGTATGAAGGCAAATGTGGACCACTTGTACGCAGATCTTTGGATGCATACTTGCTCTGATGTAAATATTCTAACTCACAGCAGTAGGCACAAAACCAGCCAGTAAGAAGATTCTCGCCTTCTTTGGACAGTACTTTCCACGACGAGTGCCATTCCAGGGAGGTAAGGCTAGCTGAGGTTCAGTCGACATGGCCTTGTTCACATCCCTCACTCCAGGTGCGCAAAGATTCTAAAGACTTCCGCAACGGATGTAATCATTTGTCAATGTTTTATGATGATCCTCCATCGAATCTGAATTATTTCCAACTCGATATTTCCAAATTTCCAGGCTGGAGTACTCAATATATAATTTCAATACAATATAATTACGCATCAGATATCGATCAGATTTCAATGTGAGATTCGAGGATTCCAGTATCATCCCACTGAATGAGAAAGGCGAATGTAGCTGTATGGAGATTCCAAACACCGAAGCTGGTCATTGTTCTCTCTCCTGGTACTTCTCAACCTTTCGTTAGTGGCTTTAAGGCACATGGCGAAGATGTTTCAACCTGGACTCGGAGAATCCTGCAGCTGGTTGTACTGAAGTCTGTCTGCAGTTCATTGAGGTATTGCGTTTGTTCGGGCAGACTTCGGATGGCAAAATTGATCGGTCCTCGATATGCGAGAAGATGTCTCGGGGAGTTATTTTAGACGAAGCTGAACGATCCGTGTGTTTAATTGTGGCAGATGCAGAATCTCCAGGGCTGCATCAAAGCGAGATCGAATTGAGATCCCGCATGATCTCACCGGGAGAAGATGAACAAGATCCAGACACCTGACGGTGCTACGGAATGCATTTCGGAAATAATCGCGAGAGTTTCATCAGTGCGCTGACATCTCGCGAATCGGATGGAAGGACGTTCCACAACCGGGAGTGTATGCCCCATCCATCGAGTCGAGAGATGTCATCGTCACGATGTAATTAAGAGCCCAATCTCCAGCGCTTCAGGTCTCCATTCTGTGACTTTTTCATGTGATCCCAAGCCGACGAAGAAAAGTTCTCCAAAGCACCTCCTTTAGTGATTGCTTTACAAAAGATCAGGTAAAACCTCGTTGGCCTCGTTTCCTTTTCATGTTTTGAAATCAGGTCGGCCAAAATTGGAGGCCATGATCGCGAGCAGACAGTCTCGAATCTGCTCCATATTTTCGCAGGCCCGGAGGAGCTTCAGTGCCACTCCACGACTAATATTTTGTTCCCCTTGAGCAGTGTCTTTGGCTTGAGCTTCACAGGTTGTGAGGAGAGAGTTGAATGGATGGATCTGAAGGTACGTCAAGCTACTCAGAGCTTGAACTGCACGTTCTCTGCTGCGAGAAGGAGCATCGGATCTGCTGATGATAATTGAAGATGATGGCGACCTGGCGTCCGATTAGATCAACGCTAGCGTTCGTACTTATCTGCACATTTACACAATACAACTAATTTTTCAGCATGAGTGGCTGCTCTCAAAGTCGTATGCATCAACGTTTGATATGTGTAATGCTGCTAATTTGTTGTCATTCGTATCTATCTGGTCAGTGGCGTGAGGATCAACTGCCACAGACAGACAGACACATAGAGATTTCTCGTACTATCCATTCTGGGACTTACACTTCGTTCCAGTTCATGTTCAAAGCCGCTCTTTGCCACCATGTCCGTGATCATCCTCATGTCTTCATCTCTTGGGAACCATTTCTTTCTTCTGCCCATGACTTGAGCCCACATGGAAAGACTCGTGTTGACATGTGGCGGACAGATTGCATCACAAATGTGGTTTTTGAGAGTGTTTAGAAATCTGGGCTCAACTGAGAGTAAATATGAGTGAGATAGAAATACAATATACTCGTACGGAAGTATATCGAGGAGTATCAAGAGTACGTACCCTCTGTAAATACATACCTCGGATACACGTGGATGAGGATCCCTGTCTTGAGTCCTCGACGAATCTAGTCAGCTCGCGCTGTGAACTTTGATGCAACTTGGCACAAGTATTTGTTTCCACCCAAATATAGAACATTTGGAAGGCTACATGCTAAAAAGGTATAAAGTTGATAGAAAAATCTTGGTATCACTCATCAAGTTGTATATAGATAATGAATGAAAAGTAACATAGTCCGGTCGAAGACAGTGTTAAGGAGAGAATCATTTACCCCAAACTATATGTACACAACAAGAACATTCATCTTTCATTATTGAATTCGATTCTTTATTTATAGTTATAAATAAATAATCATTTACATGTATAGCAGTGGAGAGTTATCTCATAACATTAAGTAATTCATCGCTAGAATTACGTCCAAGAAATTTATTATGTTTCAATTTAGATCAATTTGGGAAAGGTAATCAATTTCAAACTATAGATCTGTAAAATTAGTATTTAGCTATATGATTATCTATTGATAAACTTCATATGATGATTAATGGTTAGATGTTTGTAGATATAATATGTTGAGTTGAACTTGAGTTGATTTTAATTTACTAGGTTTGAAGATTGATTTTTTAAAACAATTTCAGCAAATTTTTAGTATTAAAAATTAATTGAATTAAGAAATTCATTAATTTAAGAAACTTGAAATTCTATTGAATATAGAATTATTGAAAATTATTGAAAAAATTGAGAATCCAAAAAAACATATTTATGAAACAAGAGATTGGAAAATTTGAATTAGAACTATACTCATATTTAAAATTATCATGTCCATATTTTAAGTATTTTAGAATGTATATAATAGAAAATTTGATTTATATTTCAAGTCGAGCTTATGCTTACGTAATTTGGTTCATCTTGATAATCTATGAATGCAAGGTGATAGTCCAAACACTGCATATACAATAAAAGTTGCAAAATTGCAATAATTATCATATATATATATATATATATAGTTTCTCATTTTTGAAATACGTATTAGGCACAATTACAATAGTATGACATCGTACATAAAGTCATGTAGATCTCCACAAGTACTTGTGTGGAGGTAGTTTGAGACAAATTTTTAGTAATCTACTAGCACTTTAAGAATGAGTAAGCTGCATCGAGATGTCTTACATTCAAATCTTTGGAAAATGGAGATTGTGAAGAATGGCCAAAGTATACAATGTACCTCACCTTTACACAGGTCTGCAAATTTAAGTTGGAAATTTAATCAGTGAAATATTAGCCTTATATCATTGGTTCAAATTGTGTGTATCATATTCTAGACAATGGATCATAATAACGATACATTGAATCATGTCAAGTAAAAGTCTTACTAAAAGTGAGCAAAGGGTTTAGGATCACCATTCTTATACAATATCAATTACGATGTATGACTTAATTAGCTAAATGACTATTAGCATACTTGACTCTACCAAGTTGCAGTCACACAAAGTGAAGTAACTTGCGAACCTGCTATTTCATCACATAAGTCACATGGATGCACTCAATCGTAGGAGTAAGTGACGAGTTTGACAAAATTGGAAAACCAGTAAATTTTATTTCTGGTCTTATACGTTCAAATTGAGTGGATTACACACTTACAGTGGATGGCCCCAGATATTCGGCCTACTTATATTTAGCTGGATACATGCAGAAAAGAAATGAAAAAGATTTCTTGACTATCAAACAGGAGAAGATAATGCGCTATAGATCTTTGGCCTCCATCGATTCTTCCGATCTTTTCATAAAGAAGAATAAAAGATTTCTAATTACAGTCGTTATTCTTTGTAATAAAACTTAGAAACTGAACAAAAGAAATTCCTCCCTTCCTGCACGAGCGGGCAGCCGTGACATGCGGTCCGTTGTGAGCGTGGTTCGAGCCCAGTAGTCATCGCTAAATGTACCGATACAGCTGGAGAATGACCTGGCACAGACTTCGCCGGGAGAGCGTGGCACGAGAGCGGACCCGATCCCGGTCGTCGCAGACTGTGCACCCTCCACAGCACAAGCGTCAGGACCGAAGGGCGCCGGGAATACTTCGCCCTTCGGCGACGGTCAGAGGACTGGCGTGCTCCGAATACGGGACTACGAGACGAAATACGAGCGGCTGGATTGGGGTACGGCGAGCGAGGTGGAAGAACGGACGGGGCGAGGAGTCCAGGCGGATCGATCTCGTGATAGCTGCTGGTGCTGCTGCAAGCAAACAAACGTCGTGCCTGCTCTTCACTCGCTCGGAAGAAGCAAAGAAAGACAGCGAGACGGGACCCTGGAGTCAAAGACCCGCGTCCAGAACCTCAGCTTCGGGCCTCTCGGCATTTAAGCGTGGAGCTTGACCTGCGGAGGTTTTCTGCTCACTTCATCTCGAGAGCCACGGTGGGAATCTCAAGCTACAAGGGAAGAGGAAGAGGAAGGGAAGGGCTTGACGGTGTTTTGTATTGGAAGCCAAGTCGCGAGGGTTTCCTCGAAGTAGGGTGTCGTGCTTTCTCTCGCGCTGTGATATCGAGGTTTCGTTCCACTTCTCTATCCGAATCGGACACGCCAATTGGCTGTTGTGGTGGATAAGGTCGTCTCGGATCAAGATACCCGGAGAGCTGATCTGCCTACAGGTATTTTATTCGTTCCCAGGCTGGTTTGACTTGATCAAAGGGGGCGTCGGGAGGTTTGCCTTTGGCTTGTTACGGGAGCTGGGTGGAGAGAGTATAAGAAGGTGCTCTCAATCTTTTCTGTTGCTCTGATTGTGTGAATCAGTTGCGTCCCAGTCGCGTCTGTTGTAGGTTTGTATCATTCGGTTCAAGCTAGTTCGGATTTCAATTTCAGTGCTCATTAAGTGTGTGTACAATCGACCAATTGGTCGAGAAGATCGTTGGGGAAGAGATTTTGTTTTCCAGTGTAGATAGAGAGGTGCAGATGATTTCGTGCTGAAGCAGAGAAAAATGATGGATTTTGCAGCACATGCAGTGAGTAGCTTCGGGATTAGCTATTGATGGCAACACCTCAAGGAGGGAACTATCCGGCACCTTCTGCTCCGCCAGCCCCGAGTCCGTATCATCCTCAGCAGTCCTGGCAGCAGTCCAACTACAGCTCAGGCCCAGGCCCAGCAGATTACGGCTCCGCTCCGCCACCAAATTATAGTGCCGCACCTCCACCCCCGTCTCTTTCTTACAGTGCGAGTCAGAGGCTCCAGCCCACTTATCAAACTCAGAGCTCATTCTCTGGCCAGCCTACTTACACTACCCAAAATACTTACGCAGGCACACCAACCCCTCCTCACTATTCAGAGTCGCATAAAATGAGTAATTCGTACTCTCAGGCTCCAAGCAGCTATGCGCAACCTGGTGCACATCAGAGTTACGGACCGAGCCAGACATTACCGAACACTTACGGACAGTCTGCACCACAGACGAGCTATGGGAAGCCTGCTCCACCAGTTGGCTATGGACAACAACCATCATACTCATCGCAGTCCACCTATCCTCCACAATACCCTCCTGCTTATGGAGCTCCCTATGGGCAGCAAGGCTACGGTCGACCTAAGGTGCAGTTTCCTCCTGGAACTGATCCGGAGGCTATCATGGCCTTTGAGCAGGGTGATGTAGATTGCAGCGGTTTCATCGAAGAAAACGAATTGGGCAGAGTACTGTCGTCAGGGATATCTTTCAGTATGCGTACTGTGCATTTGATGCTGCATCTGTATGCAGGGAAGACCTCAAACAAGATTGGTATGTCACACAAGCTGTCTCAAAGATGACATGTCGGTGTAATTGTAGATGAGGCGCTTCTTGCGACATAGCTATCTGAAGTAACGGATCGCTGTTTATCTTCGGTGTAGTCTTTGTTTAAGGATGTTTCCGTTCGCGAGCTCATTCATTATCCTTTTGCTATGATGGCCTGATCACATGTCTGTGTTTCATGGAAGGATGTTTGGGAATCTGTGTTGTTGTGCATAAGCTCTAATGATCGAAGGTTCTGTTTTCCATGCCTCTCACCTTTGCCTGTTTGATATTGTGTGTGGACCACAGGACCAGTAGAATTTGTTGCTCTATGGAAGGCTTTGAAAGAATGGAAGGTGAGTACTTTATTCTTTCATCACAGTTTTATTTTCGGTCTTATGAGGTCAAGTAGCATGTTGTAAGAATGTTTTTTATTGGCTGTCTAACTTACTCGTCAGGTTGGATTTGCGCCTCACTCCGAATTTGGTCGGTGTTATACATGCAGGGAGTGTTTGAGAGGTTTGACAGGGATCGTAGCGGGAGAATTGACACACAAGAGCTAAAGGATGCTCTCTTGAGCATGGGATACGCTATTTCACCGAATCTATTAAGTATCTTGATATCAAAATACGATAAGACTGGGCAGGCCAAAGCTTTGGATTACGATAATTTTGTTGAGTAAGTTTCTATCACATCTACTCATGAATTGGAGTACGCGAGTAGGCGCAGTTGGAGAAAATGTCTTGTCTGAACTCTTTTCTCTGCTCTCGACCTAGCTTCAAAATGAAACGCTTGCAAGTCAGAGACATCTACCTCATCCAGTGTAGTCGATTTGAGGATACGTTCGAGGTTCCTTCACATGCGTGATGTACTGACGAGAGTGATGTCTTGTGTGTTTCGATTTCGTTTTGTACAGGTGTGGACTTGTTGTGAAGGTCAGTGTTTCAACCTACCCTATAACCTTTCTATTTTCAATGACAACATTTTGTTAATCACCGAATTCGAGCTCAGTACGCGCCATATATATTTGTGAACATTACTGTCGGTGGTCGAGATTTACTTTTTTCTGAGCCTTCGTCTGTTTTCTCTCTAATTGTTGAACAGGGTTTGACGGACAGGTTTAAGGCAAAGGATGTGCAGTTCAGAGGTTCTGCGACCCTGGATTACGAGACATTTATGCAGATGGTTTTGCCTTTCATTGTTGCTTGAGGACAAAGTGCACTTCATAAGTAGGCCTTAAGGCTTTTTGGAAGTCCATCGGTGACAGGAAAATTTTGAATTTGGGTTGAAAACACAACTATCTTCTGATATTTGTAGGAATGAACACATTAGAACAGATCTGTGCAGATTTTTGTAGGTAGCTGAGTTTACTTTCTGTTTCAAAGTCCAGTCTCAAATGAGTGGGTCTCTACGAAATTGATTTTTGACGCATTGCACTGCGATCCCAGCCTGTAGGCAAGGACACCCGAGCGGCAGTTGCTGCTCTTGTAGATAGATGTCTGCAAACTACTGCAAAATTCCGTGTTTCCTATGAAACCTTGGAATACTCACAGTTCAACTAATCAAAAACAAATCAAGGTGCCATTTCTGGCTACTTTTAGACAAGTGAGTCCTTCAAACGCTATCTTGTTGGATTGGTGGAAGTTCTGGATGTGGAAGTTTTCGTTGTGCCCTTTAAGTGATGTGCAATTTTTGGTAGCACCTGTCGTAGTGCTGGGTATTTGCTCCTCAATACGAAGAAATATTCTACAGAGCCTGTTGAAGGACATTTCCGATTTTATCGTATGGTTCTTAGTCGCCAATGTCAAGTCCATTCTGTATGTGAAATAAGTGCATTTGATGGACTTGAAAGATCGACATTATGTTTTTCTATGAGAGTTTCAGCTGCCTCAAGCCTAAAGAAGTAATGTTCTGACGGACCAGGAGATAACTTCTAACCCATTGATTACATCGTGTATGCGTCAGAATTCCGTAATTCGTATCAGGTAAGGCATACTGTCAAGTACGAGACGCATAGTTGGTATTCGCGATGAAAGTTTGGCCGTATCTACGATGATGAGTATCTTCGTCGCTTCACGTTAGAGAAAATAACGTGACGGAGCTGTCGAAGTCTGCGTCGTCGAGCGGAAATCGGGGACGCCGAAGAGGAGAAGAGTGGAGCCTTTGCTGAGTAAGCACGGTGCAAAGTGTAACTGTTCGGCACGTTACATATTCGTGCCGCGTGCCACGTGAGTGCGCTCCCAGATGTCCGATCCGAGGCCGTGCCGTCGGCCCTGCTATCACGCTTTCCAAAAAGACTTCGTCCTCGAGGGCCGTTCTCGTCGCAGCTTGACGTGGGCTTCAGTTGTGACCTTCTTGCCTTCCGGCCGTCAGCCAGGAGTCCGGACGAGCACGAAGCAAGCTGCGACTGCGAGGTGCAGCTGGCGAGGCCGAGTGACTTACTCAGCCTATCAAATTCTTTCGTCGAGGAGATCAATCGTTCGTTGCACTCTTCTATCATCTGTCCGCAGATATCCGAGCGTTTCACCAGTTACATCCCGAAGCTCCCCCAGAACAACTGTTTGGATAGGTTCGAGGGCCTCGTCCGTCAGGTCCGCTTTAGGTCTACCGTCGATCCCCGGGCCTACAATTCCTTTTAGCCTGTTGTAGCCAGCCCTAAGATGGTCTCTATTGTAGATGTCACGTTTGCGTTTACAACTCGGATATAGTAAATCACTCAGTTCATGAAAAATTAATATTCAAAAGCATAAATAAGATAACAGTTCTGCTATCTTCTCGTGTATCGTGATCAAGAAATTAATATAGGAGCTCGTCTGAGCCCAAGGATGAAAGAGGGAAAATAAGAAAATTAAGTAATTTTCTTTCATTCCTTGTAGTCACGAAAGTCTGAACCATCCAATTTTTCGGTAATTTATCTTCCAAAAAAGTAATTATAAATGGCAACAAACAAACTGAGGCAGAATACAAAATCGGCGTGACCAAATTCTCCAGAAAAAATCAGATGGCCCCCGGATCTGTGAGTTAGCAGATGACGAATGGCGTTCTGAAATTAGCGTCCAAATGTCGAAAGCATAGTTCGACACCACGGGCACCGTCCTTGAGCGATTCGTGGATATCCGGGAAGAGGAAGATGGTCCACCTCGACGGACATCTCAAAGGGCCAAGAGACGTTGCGTCGCCTGCCTTGCTTGCTTGGTTACTCCACCCAAGACCGAACGAACGGGAAACTGACCGTAGTACGAGACCGTCAATACGGCGACGGGTTTTGTCGGCCGGACCGACGGTGCGCAAGACCTTTGCGTCGAGTCGGGACGATGTACGAACGGCTGCGTGTCGCTCAAAGTTGGATGACGATGTCCAAAAGCGAGCACGTCGGACCGTTCGAACCCCTGGTGTCCCCACCGGCGGGTGCAGCACGAGACCTCCGACGCAGCGGCTGTCGGTCCGGTTGAGCAGTCGCATATTCTCGAATCCTTAGCAATGACTCTTGGTCACATCTATGGCTTGCTTGGTGGGGTCCTTTTGCTCTATTACTTGGTCCGCCCTAATCCGAGGGGCGATTCAGTGTTCAATTTTAGTACAGTTAAGGCCTCACGGGTGCAACCGATCGCTCACATGAAATATGGAGAAGGTTGCACCTAGGTAGTTTTACAAGTACACCATGTGACTATTATTAGAACCTAGCCCCATCCAGGAGTTTGATACTTAGATGACGTCTGCTGGGTATTTGCTACGGATTTATAGAAGGGGCCAATAGGCATATGATGTACTATCAAGTTAATTGAAAAGTGATCATTCATGAAAAAGATATAGTCCAAGATTTATGAAGTCTTAATTATTTAGAAGAGGTTAAAAAAACGCATTCAACAATTATTCATCTAATTTGTATTTCTATAGTTGATCAAAAGATTATTGGAAATTGTGTGACTGATATAAGTGCTTTGTTAGTAAAAAACTAAGAATAACATATGTTCGTAGACTACTTTTTGTACTAAAAATAAAACATGAAAAAATAGTCTATACTATATATTTCCATAATAATTCGAAGAAAGCAGTAACTTATGTTAGTGTACTAGTCCCTCTGTTACTATACTCGCTTGCTTTCATTTTGTATAATTCGCTATTTATTCATTTTCGAGGCCGTTCGATGGGTACTTGCTTTATGACTTATTGCTGTTTTCCTTTTATTCAAGTGGCTGTTCTATGTGATTTGCGAGGCTGCCTAGAGAGCGGTGATTGCCACGGGTGCCGCATACTGTACTTTGCGGAAGTGAAACGCGGCGTGCGGTGATCGAGAACACCCGGAAGGTCGGAAAAATCATCCAAAAATCGATTGCCGTGGAATGCGTCCATGGCGAGACAGAGACGAGCATGCACCCAGAGCGAGCTGCGAGTCGGGGCCTCGAGTTGTGAGGCTACAGTCCGTAGCAGATCGGATGCGTGAGCAAACCGAGAGGTGGGCCATCAGCTCGATTTTGTGCGCAAAGGATCACGCGCGGGTTCCAGAAGTCGATGCACTGTTTCTACATCAACTTTCGATTCTGGCGGTGCGTGCGTGGGGGCCAATTTTCTCTTCCCCTTCGGACTTGATGGCCGGACTGTGAGCAAAATCCTCGGCTCGCTGTGGCCGGAGATTGTGGAAGAGAGAGCGCGAGATGATGAGCCCTTTCCCTTGACTCGCCCTTCGAGTCAGCAGTAGCAATGACGATCGACCCGATTATCCAGAATGTCGGTCGCTCCGCCGCACAGTTGTGGCAGGGTGCACAGAATTTCTTTCAGGTGAATTTTTCATTTCACTTTCACGGCCTGGAATTGCGAAGCATCAGTCGCCGGATAAGTTGTCATGATTTCAGAGATTCGGGCTTGGTTGATCAGCTCAGGCCATATGAGACTGTGCCTTTAGTGGTTTCTATTCATCTCCTGAGGTTTCAGCAGTCTTCTCCTCGTCCAATGTCTGGGAGCTTCTTGGAGGGTTCTGGACACCGCAGTGTGGGACATATTTAGTACATTTGGGCTGCAAATCAGTTTCTGGGTACTGCTGTGATGGTTTAGTTCCTATTTCCTGGGTATATTGAACTTTGCACCTCGGGGCCTCTCTGTGCAATGCACTGCAAAGAATGTTGCTTGTTTCTTCTGTCGCGAGCTGACACAGTGCTTGCATTTCCCACGCATTTGTTTGGCCCGTACACAGCCGGAATATTGCAGAAAATGTTACAACGAAGGCAGTTGTTTGGAGTCATAGCGCATGCTTTTAGTTGTAAGGAGAAGATTGTTTGACAGGACGACGGGATTATCAACCCACAGGAAGGCTTGAACCCTTGTACCACCCGTTTCGAAGCACGAGCACTGAATGTATCTGGCTTGTCGTGCCAGAGTGAGCATTTCTTACTTGTCGAGTGCTCTGCTGAATACTGAACCTTGTACAATTCGGTTCCCAGGAGATACAGTCATCAGTACGTCGCACTATTGAGAATGGCCAGCAAAGTCCAAATTCTCTGAAGACTAAGTATCCTCAAATAAACGAGGCATCAAAGGGTGCTTCCTCCGGATCTTCGACTGCTCTCCGCGATTTGGAGCCTTGGCGAAAGAATCCAACTTGGGAGGATGACACACCGGTTATGGAGGTTTCATTCTTCACTGTCCGGCTGTGTTTGTGTATTCTGTTCTATCACCGTGGAATAGAAATGCCTCCATGTGGATGTAGTCCAGGTGTGTTCTGTCCGGTTCGGTTTCTGTGGACTTGAACTAGATGAATCAATTTTGATTATACAGTCATTTAGGCACTCAAGTAATATATTCTGCTTCGAAGTTCTGCTTCGAAGCAATAGAAGTCCCATATCTTTTTTGAACATACATGCTGCTGTTCAAGGGTTCTTTTGTGCACGTTTGTAGTTTTGGTGTGGCAAACACTTGCAATGACATCACTAGACTTTCAGGATAGCTGCATTATCATCAACAAGTTTGGTGTTCATGGGTAGGAAATGGTCGACGTTAATGGATCTGACTGAGAAATTACTCATCGTGTGTCTGGACAAGTAATGATGACCAGAGTTTCCCAAGCAAGCTCTAGTCTGTAGAAGCATTTAAACTTCAAGAACAGGCTCAATCCGCTGAGGGGAACCTTTCAGACATGGAACGAACGAAGCAAAAACATGCACTGTCGCAGGTCTTGAAACAGATCTTTCTCAGCCCGGCGTTTGGGTTTGTTGATGTTGAAATTTTTAGAATCATTACAGTGGTTGACAAGACTTGCACATTTTTGCGGGGCCTTAGTACACCACTCAGAATGAGAAAAACACCCTTGTATTCCCTTCCAATGTGGGAGAGGTGCCGGTCAGCGGGTAGAACTAATTATCTTGGCTTGCAGTCGAGAATGTCGAATCCCGTCCAATGCTCCTGTTTTTTCCAGCGTTGAGCTTCAGCTGCGAGATGAGATTCAAGGCTGTAGGTCGGGGGATAACGACCAATTTTTAGGAAAAGTCGTTAATCATGAACTCAATGGTTGTTATTGTGGAAACATATCGTGATGGACCTTCTCTATGTTTATCTCCATTGTTGTTTAGTTCATAAGTTTCTGTTATACACAAATCTCACCAATGCTATCCATCGTTCACAGGTCACCGTTCCTGAAGGTTCACTCTGTCAGCTAAACTCGATATTTAAAGTGGGGCTGCCTCCTGAGGCCGTATTCGATATCCTCAGCGACCCAGGGAATAAACGTGTGTTTAAAAACATCAAGGTACGTGGCATGATGCGCGTGTGTTAGTATTCGTAGATAATTTTTACGTCACTCGTTCTTTCTTCTTGACTCATCTTTATAGTTCTATTCTCGTAGCTTCACTTTCAAGAAGGCTCGTTTCGATCTCCAGTGTTTTAGTTTAGTGACGGTATCATATAGAAACTTATTTTGAGTCGGGTCATTACAGGAGGTAAAGTACCGGAAATTGTTGGAAGACCACGGACACCGTCAGATTGTTGAAATAGAACAAGCCGCCATATGGCGTTTCCTCTGGTTGTCTGGAACCTTGAATGTTTGTGTACGAGTAGACCAAGATCGCCGAGCTCTAACGGTATGTACAAGTCACTTTGACCCACGTCTTTCGTGCAGAGTTTTTCGGCCTGTTTTTGTTAAGGAATGAGTAAAAACCTTCCTAATGTAGAGGGAAGGTTTGGGGTCGCATCTGAATCGAAATCTTGACAATTTGTGTTCGAGCTTGGCAGGGTACTGGAGCGTTAATAGCCGTCGCGAGGTTTGCCCTCGTCATAATGTTTATTTAAATATGCATCGTGCTTGTGTTGTCCTCCTTGCAGCTGAAATATGATCTTGCGAAAGAAGGCTTCATGAAGAAATTTGAGGGGAGCTGGGAAATTCAACCACTGTATATAGATATGGATGATGGTACAGACTCGAGAGGTAGAATAGCATCTCTGGTGCATTTACAACAGGTGGTGCAACCGGCTATGATGCCGCCGCCCCCCTTTTTAAGGTACGTACGTGGAATTACAACCAGGACGACGGAGAAGATGCTAGAGGACTTGCAAGAAGAGGGGAGAAGGCTGCGGGAGGGCAGGGCAGTTTCTGAGCTTTCGCAAGCTGAAGAGCAAGTCCACCGTCGGGCTGTAGCTGAGGCCGAAAAGGGTTACGTTTTAAGGAGACACTGGAAGTTGCATACGAATGCCGGCGGGTTGAAGAGAAGGCAACGAAGGAGAAGACGAAGAATCGGGCGATTCGTGTAAGGGAGTAGTGTCCATCTTGTCAAAGAGCATCCACCGACAGATGATTGTCTGAACGGTTGTCGACATTATTTTATTCGCCTTGGACATGCAAGTTCTACCATACACCATCTTGCTCGTGGTAGATGCATCTCCAATTGTGTATTAAATCAAGAGCATTCATGTTTCATCTGCAGCACTTCTGCCCCCAAAGGAGCAAGTTAGATGGCCAGTGGTGCTTTCATATGTTTGCTATTGTGGACTGAAGTCCAGGCGGCCGATCATGGAAGGCGTTGGCTGTAGCTTTTTCGGAAGGATATCAAGTAATATCACATCAACTTTTAAGTAAATTGGGCTGCGTACATCGCCAGAACAAATTTCTCTTTCTTACCTGCAATCTAGCGGGGAGGAGGAAGGAGGAGATTTGTGTGTAAATAAGTCCAGTGAGTAAATTCTCGCAGTTGAAATCATAGAAGGTATCGATCTTTCAGACATCTTGTAGACTCAAATCACCAAATCTTATTCATTCTCAGTCATGATGCGACTGATATTGCCACGTCTTCAGCGAACTAGGATTTTGGCTCCAGACAAAAGAAAGCACACATAGAAACCCGCGAACACACGAGGACAGTCCAACCCTGCGTTGGTTTTCGCATCACCTACAAACGTGACATGTAAAGACATCAACTCTTAAAGAGCTTAATCAATCTGACTATTATCTGAACGGTATCGGAACCACGATGACGCTGTGCAAAGTGAGCAAGGATCGGCAAACAATATTCTCGATTCGCTGACCAAGTGTTTGTTCTAGTCGTAGTTCTCGTCCATGGTGCTTTATTTAGATTCTGTGTGACCCTGTTGCGTTCATGTAGTCTCTTTGAGTGAGGTAACCTGAATGGTTTATCCTCGACCTGACATGATGAAGTACAGAGTTCTATATAAAGAGGCCCTCTTCCATGGAGTGGGTTGTGACATTTAACAGGCCCATAGCTTAATAAGGACGACGAGGGGATCTTATTTTTGCAGTTGCCTGAATGAAGGACAAATCTTCTTCTCCCTTCAAGCAGCTTGTCTCAAGTTAACCCATCATTGTGCTTCATACAAGATTAGAATCTTGGACAATGACTGCTCTTTTTATAGATAACTGTCAGCTTTGTGGGTCGAATGCTTCTCCTTCTTCACTCGACGAAGCTCTTGAATTTCACGTAGCGGCGGATCTGATCCGGAGAGAGGGATCTTACTCGGTTTGATTCTGTCCACTTGCCTGTAAAGCACGAAAAGCCCACAGTGCTCCTCTGCGAAGGAATCTGAATTTTGGATTAAACTGAACTTCTTTGCACAATCATGCGATATCTGTGATTTTGCCCATGGGGAGCCGATTTCCCTTAATCCGCGGAACCTACTGCACATATAATATGCCAATGGCACGTACTCTCATCATTAGCTCTTGCGGGCAGCACCGTCACGTGACTTAAACTACGCATCGAGAACCATAAGCGAGTAAGTATGGAGTAATCTATCCCCACCCCTCGAAGTAAGTATGACATGACTCGTCGAAGACTAACCTTCATTTTAAGGACGACTAACCACGTCGACAGCATCTCTCACCCGCCATGGTTTCATCCAAAGCTCATTGAGACATGAAACACGCAGCAACGATTTCAAGCCGTCTTTGGTCTCGGATCTTACGCCTCACGATCCGTCGGCAGTGAGCCTAGTGGCGTCGTATGTATGTACGAACCAATACTGTCCACGGGATGACATTAACGGATCCAACTTTCATCCGTCCAAAGTAATCATTGTTCCAGGCTTCAAGCAGCATAACAAGAGCCTCGTGTACGACCATAATAGCCGGAATATCTGTTCTCTTATTTTCTGGTATACTTTATTTAACATGGTGGTCTAGTGGGAATACATTGCATAAATCGCGTGATGACCACAGCGGTTCATTAAAGAGTTCTGATTTGATAGCTAAAATAGATGTTTCCATAGGTCTAATGCTAGATGATGTTATTTAAAAAATATTTAACTCAATGATTAAGATAGATTTTTATTTTATAATATTTTTTCATTGATAATATTTGGTTTTATTTTAATTTTTGTTAGAATATTGCATAATTTATTTGAGATAATATGCTTCCCGAGATTTTATTGTATAGTTAAAGTGAAAGTGAAACTATTGTTATTCGTGGACATTTAATATATTTCTTGATATTATTTCTTGTGCTCAATAATTTTTTATTTTATTTAGCATATTTTATGTTTTACAATATATTATATATTTCAATTGAGTTGATGCTATTACGATATGACATTCGTTGTTGTGACACTATCAATTTGATAATTAGGATTTATACCTTATGACATATTTCCCATGTCGATCACCATGCTGAGTAGGCATCTCCTTATAGGACTTCCGATCCGTGTCTATCCAGATGTCCATGGTTTAGTAAATTTGTGACAAGCTCTTCTGGTTTCTAATTTCTAAGCTCGTCTGGTCCAGAAGCAGTGATTGCCGTGTCAAGGTGGAGGTCCGGGCCGTACCACTACACTCGTCGGGTGCGAGCAGGTGATGCTGTCATTCCGCACTGAAACATTCTCTCGCATCTGAGAACACGGAAAGAGGCTACAAGTGGCAGAGTACAGATGTCGATTTCCACACAAACGATCAAGGCACAGAAGAATTTTTCGTGGAATGTAATATTATTCCAAAACAGGTTTGCCCGGAGTAGGCTCCGAGATTCAGTGCGGTGTCGACTTATAGTCGATCTATCAACGAAGTGTCGGCCCATTTTTCGAGTCGGGCGAGGGGAATAATGCCTCTGCACCGGATGATGAAGACGTTCGGAGCTCAGAGTAATGCTTCAGGGGGGAAATCTATGTTTTAGCTCGAAGAGTCAGAGCATCAAGCCGAAGGCTCCTTTGAAGCTTCCGCCCAATTCGGGGCCAGTCGAGTTCAGTTCAGTCCGCAGTTCTTCCTGCACACTGCTTATGGCAACGGCTTTCTGCTGACGAAGGGCGCACGTCGATCTCTGGCTCAGACACGAGTGCATAATCGATCGCAATGAGCATACATGAGCAGCTTAGCTCGCTCGCACTCATGCAAAATTTCATGGCCTCGATTTGCCAAGAGAAAGGTGTTACCCGTGCATCTTCCCCGAGAAGCCTCGAGAGCCGGGGATTTAGAAAGACAGATTTAAATTCACAGTTCTGCAGGTTGGAGCTTGACGAGGAACATGGTGGTGCACACTGTGACTGCCTACTTCAAACAGATCATGAGCATGTTGAAACGGCAGGGCGATGAGTCGTGTTCTAAGAGCGAATACGCTCGCTGCTAACGTTCCGACACGAATAATTTCGTCAGTCTCAGTCTGCGTTTCCAAATCATCAGCTCCATAAACGTCGAGTCGATCAAATTCTCGGATGCAATCACTTCTTACAGAAACAGCAAACAAACATCTTCTTCTGGTCTAAGCGGCGATGACCCAGAGAACGAGCGAGCTGAATCGTGCGTTTCTCGATTCGACGAAACTCGGGGTTTCATTCCGATGTTGGGAACGTAGCACGAGGCAATTGACTCTAAATTCCCATCCAGACTGACAGAATTTGAGGTTGAGTCGAATCCTGGTAGAGACGCCGTACAGTCGTGGAGGGATGGGATGGAATCGCAAAGCTCGGCTGCCGAACATGCGCTTCTTCTTCCCCTGCCCCAGTTTGATAGAGCAAGACTCAGAACCGAGCGAGCGCTTGCTCCGGGCAAGTCCTCGGGTCCTAGCGCAGCCACGAGAAAAGCATGCGCTGATGTCTCGTGCGTAGCGTGGCAGCTATGCTGCTCTGAATCCTCCGTACTGCTTCATAAGGCTCTGACAGTATTAGACGCTGCCTGCCATGGCAGAAATCGGCTGACGTCTCTGTGATCCGCGTGACGGGATACACTAGGGGACGGAATTTTCCTCATGAGAAGGGAAACCACTGTAGGTCGTCGACGCTGCAGCATATTCCGCACAGGTTTGACTTGAGGGCAGCAGCACTAGCACGTTCCGTATTTTGCCACTGCGAACGTCAGAAGCCCGTGCTGCCGGTCTGTCTCGTGAGGTGAGTGAGCTCGGCTGAACCCACGAAGTCGGGTCTCTAAGAAGTGAGAAGGTTCTGGATTCGGAATTCATGGACCGCTCGCTACGCTTCGCTGGAGCTGCATGTTCCGAGCATGCGAATTTCTCGAGGGCTGGGCGGGCGGGATTTGGTGCATGAAATGGTTTCAGCTGGGCGAGCAAAGTTTCCTGGAATTGGTTCGAATGTGCAGACTTCGAAGCTTGTTGACACGTACCGTGTAACGACGGCACGAGAGCTCATGACCAGGCCAGATCCTGCACTTCTCGTCATTTGCCGATAGTCGGGCCTCGTTCGATCGATCGACGGGTCGTGGTCGAGGAGGAGCTCGAGGTATTTGCATACCTTTGGCTCCACTTCTCGTCAGCGAATCTGGTCAGCTTCCAAAGTCAGAGAGCGATGGAGCTGCACTGGCAGAGTACAGACCAGACGGCGAAGTGCGTGCTGATGTCTTTTCGACGTAACCCGATCCGAGAACGCAGGAATGATCGGAATCGGACCTCCATGACTCGACCAATCTCGTGCTGATAGAAAGGTCAGTCCGTGGATGATGGCGAGGGGGGCCCCGACCGACCGACTGACACAGGTGGCCTTGGCCCTCCTGCCGTGGCTCAATGAACGCTGCGGTAAAACGCACACAAACACCCCTCAAAGCAGCAGGCAGCAGATACTCCAGATCGCGGATTCCGCCTTTTACGAGCTGCGTCAACCGATCCTCATCCCCCCTCGCTCGCTCGCTCCCACGGAGCCTTCGGGACGCTGTCGACGGACAAGAAGGCTTCCATGGCTCGGGACCACGTCCTCGTCAGAAACAGAGGCGCGAGGGCGACGACGAATCTCTTTCCCCGCTCGGAAAGGGAATGGCAGACGCCTTTCGAAAAAGAGCAGCGAGAGAGAAAGGGTGGTGGACGAAAGAAGCGTCTGGCCAGAGCCGAGGGCGAGGCTTGAGCTCGGTCAACCGAGTCCTCACACAATCGCTCAGCTGTGCAAAACAGCCCTAGAGTGAAGAGTGAAGAGTGAAGAGTGAAGTGCCGCTGTAAAATGTGAGGAGAACCGTGTCGTCGTCCCTGTTGTGGTCGTCACTCGCCGCTCGCAGCTCTCCCTCCATCCCCCAACACCATCCCCACTGCCTGTTGTGTTCCACTCGCCGCTACCGGCTCCCAGTCTCTCCCCACCGCGCCAGAGATCCGATCCTCGCCCGCGGACGGACGTTGACTTGTGGTGAAGACGGCGCACCGCTGCCTCCGATCAGCGGCACTCCCCAGCAGCGGGGGGAGAGCAGGGCCACGTGATCATCGCGAGGGGTTAAAAAGGGGAAAATGCCTCTCTCGCTACGAGGAGTTGCGAAATCTATCCCCACCCCGATGGATGCTCGCGGGGGGTGGGGGCGGGGGGGGAGCAGACGGAGTAGAGATCGATCGAGACGACGGGACGAGCTCGCCGCATCGATGTCAACAGGGGGAGGAGGAAGACGCTGTGGTCCAGGATAAAGGGGGATTCCCGAGCCCCGAATCTGGCAGCCTTTGGAAAACATCGAGCCCTCGGCACAGTTGCATCCACAGACTGTTCTCGCCCTCACCTGCTCCACTCGCGCCCTTTCCCCTCCCGATAAAGACAAGGCGACGTAAATGTGCTCTCCCCATTCACCCCCACTGAAAAATGACCCTCGGCCTTTTCTCTGATGCTCCCTCCCTCCCTCCGAAGCCTCGGCGATGGTCACGAGCTCAAGGAGACAGAGAGAAGAAAGAGAGTCACAGCTTCGATTGAGAAAGAGAGAGAGAGAGATTACCGAGACTGTGGAGGTGGGGCAGCGGATCCCGGAAGGCCGTGAGTGACGGGGGTGTTCTGGATGGCAGCAGCAGCAGCGATGGCGAGGGGGTGGGATGAGCAGCGGGCGGAGAGAGAGAGAGAGAGAGAGGAGGCGCACCGGGGATAGTTCCTAGAGGTCGGGTAGAGAGAGGGAGAGACGGAGAGAGAGTGAGGGACAGCGGAGTGTAGATGCTGATGATGGGGGAATGGGGGTGGGGGTCATTGATGCCTCGTCCAGTAGGAGCCCGCGCAGAAAAGCTGCCATGCACGAGGCAGGCAGGCTTGCTCAGAGCAATCACATCGACAGCGAGAGCTATAAAGAGACTGCGGGTCCGATACGCACATGGCCGCTATATTCTCCGAGGCGAGGCAGTGCGAGCTTCCGGCTCTTGACGAACTGGAGTGAGGGAGAAGAAGCAGAAGGAGGAGAAGAAGAGGAGAGGGAGAGGGAGGGGGAGAGGGAGGAAGAGGAGACTGGCTCCTCGTCAAGAAGGGAGGGTCTTGCCAGGTCGCCGCCCTAGGCTGGCCTGCGAGCTCATCGTCATGGGGGTGCACGAGGGCTCGTGTCCACGAGCATGAAGCCGAGGCTCTCTTGAGGCTGAGGAACGCGCGCTGCACCGATTGTGGTCTCGAACTCGACGAAACGCCCGGCCGCCATGGAGAGGAAACGTTTCGCTTACTGCTTGGCCGTGTCAGCGGCCTTGATTCTCCTCTTCGGGAGGCTCGATGTGTACGTCCCAGCTGCAGGTCTGTCATATCCCAGCTGTCATTCCCGTCCATGTTCGTCGTTCCTACTCGCGCAATGCTTGACCTCGAAAGAATTCTCTGACGATGCCTCCTCCTCCTTCTTTCGAAGCTCGTTCGATTCTGCCACGATGTCGAGGCGCGGAAGACTCGTCAGTCCTCCTCCTCCTCCTCCTTTCATGAGCTGAGTCCCGAGTACGAATTGGTGTCTATTTATTCGTTGCAACCTTTGGGAGCCTAGATTACGTAAAACCAAGCACCTCGTCGTTGGAGTGCGTGACTCTGTCGACTCGAATTGAACGAGCGTGTCCAATCCTGTCAAGCCGATGGATTCCGGTCGTCTCACAGAGCGGCTCTGGTCAAGAAAAGTCATATTAACCTAGAGCACAATGTACAGAGTGTGTGAGGAGTTTGACAGTCATTTCGATACCACATTGAAGTCAGTTGATAGAGAGCATTGCTTGTTCGAAACTGTGTGAGATATTGCTGGAAAGTTGTGCTTGCAGCTTGTGTGCATAAATGTCGGACGAGAAAGGTATCGGCGGATAGACAGGGAGACAGACAGTGAGTGGTCGGAGGTTTATTATGCAAAATGTGTGCCAGTGCAGTGGAGTGCATCATCAGTGCTGACCTTGAGTGGAAATGGCAAATGCAGTGAAAGATCCTCAAAGAGCCACGCTGCACAAGAGTCTGAAGAACATGGCCTGCGATGAGACGACGGTGTTCATTCAAGACAAGTTCCTGTCATCGACGTCCGGCGTGACGAAGAGGGTGAAGGAGGAGGCCGCAAGGGCCAAGGCTGGGACCTGCGAACAGGAAAAGCAATTCATCTTCAATTTCATCAGCAAACAGCTGCCGGATGTGAGCGGAGGAGGGCACATTGGCACCAAATCATGGTTCTCATTCCCACCTTCTTCCTGCCTGTCGTGTCTCGCTTCTGTGTGCCTGGCGCACGACCAGTGTGACAAATGCTGCCGGAAAAGACACTCCACATTCTGTTACGATTGTCGCTGATGAGAATCCCTCTCGATTATTAGTGCCGGCTCTCGCAAGACATCCGGTACCATTATATTTGTACATATAAGTGCCAGAATCAATTAAAGGAAATTGTATTAGACATGCATTGGACGACAAGTCTGGAGAAAAATCTCGCAGATGATTTGTAGTAGAATTCCGATACTCGCAATTTACGAGCGGAAGTTCCTTACTGACGCCGCTCCTTCCGCAAAGCAGTGGTATTCGTGCATCATCCGATTTGGTGGGTCGGACTGCTCTGCTGTCGAAATTCTTTTGCTCTCGTGATCACCAGTGAATATTATTTCTACCTGCTGTATTCCTTCACCAAAAAAACTCTCTCGTGCGTCCATTACGTCGCACCTGAGCTTTATAAAGGGCTTTATTGCTGCACTGGTCTGAAGGCTGGACGTTCTTCTGATTCCATCGTTGTCTACATTATACTCTGATGGCATAAACCCTACCTCACCTGGATCACATCTGCCAACAGGCTCTCGACAAGACTCCTTTCGCATCTTCTGGGGCCGCAGTTGTAACTCTTGACTCTCCGACGCCACCGTCGACTCATTCAGTTCCTGATCCTGGCTTTTGCCCTTCTCCAAAATTGGAACGTTCTAAATCTGTCGATTTACTGTCTTGATTCGACCTCTGCTAACCGCGGACCTCGCCTACTTTTCGGCGATCTGTGCAGACCATGCGTCAATCGTCAGAGGGTTTGTAGGAGCCGTGTATGCCTAAACACTCAGTATATCTCACTATAACGGCGAGTCTTAATCCACTCCACGGCCAGACCTCACGATTCCAACCTCAGCTTCATTTGAACCTGTCGGAATGCAGTGGCCATCGAAGTGGGCTATATATTGTTTGAGCTTGAAATCTGGAGATTGAGTCTCAAAATTCGCTCTCGTGCAATTTCCAGCAATTCGTGCATTTTTAACAAGGTCTGGACAGTTTATGGTCAGATTGAGGAGTGAGGGTGGAAAAACTGTGGGTGCCTCATCACAATACACCACGTATGATTTCAGGTTGGAGTCACATCCCGATAGTGAACGTGCTTGTGCTCCTCTGTCTCAAGATTGATAGTCAGCTATTTCTAGAATTCTCGATTAATTTCAGTCAACAAAGTGTCTCGGTTCTCCCTCTGAACTGTACGTTACCCCATTGTCTTTCCAGTCCAGTGGACGGACCTTATGAATGGGCGAGACTTAGACTACGTGAAACGCAGCTCCCTCACAAGCAGTGCTCACTAAAGGGTACGGAGGAAAAGGGAGCGGTGGTTCTCGAGGATTTATGATCCGCTTTGAGCTGCACGCTTGACCGAGCTCCCATGGTACCTACTACTAAAGAGCAGTGAAGGCTGCAGACATTTGAGGCCCAGTCCTCATTATCTTTCTTCCAGCTGCAAACATCTTGCAATTCCAAGTCTCATCCCACCCCGTCTCATCTCATCTCATCTCCGCAGGTCAACAAAAATTACATCTGCTGACCAGTTTAGTCGACAAGAAATAATATCAAACTATCTCTAGCATTTCGAGTGAGAGGACGATCGAGCACATGTTACTTGTGTGATTAGAGTGTGAGTACCACGCCTAGCTCACTTGTTCATCACATCACGACAGTGGAGGTGACATCGCCTATTTGGATTAAAGTCTTGTAAGAATCGAGGTTTTGATCACGTTTGACTAGCTGTACACGCAGGAGCCATCAGCTTGATTGGCAGAAAAGCGTCGTTCGGTCAATCCTGCGCAGTACCGTCACCTTCGGAGTCCCTGACCTTTATGACGCACGACCTGTCCGTTCCCCATGAGAAAGCTGTACTTCGTGCACTTCTCGTTTGGGCACTACTTTTAACAGCCTGCATATACTAACATACCGTGCAGCGTGTCAGCCGGCAGGCGAGCAGTGTTGATTCATATTCTTATATGCTCCCCATAAGATTCTGTGAACATCAGTTATGGTCTTCAAATTCGGCATCTGTAGGAGAAACTGCTCTCGGTAGAAACCCCTTCCATGTGCTAGAAAGTGACCGTCTTCGTTACTCGGTATGAATTCTAAGGGTAGCGAACACTGAAGGCTTTGAGAATCGCTCAATTCAAACTGATTGACCCGTTTCATCTACGAGCGAGAGAAGGCTTCTGTTAAATATTCGAGATAGTCGGAAGCACCGTAAACTACGTGATGAAAAAGTTGCTTGCGTTCACTCGAGATTCCAGCTGTGGTCAGCTGGGTTGGATACCTCGTTATCCACAGACCCTGATCTATATTATAAATGTAGCCTCTTGCCTAGGATTCGAGCCAAGAGTGGCCTTTAAACTATCTCAGCCGCTTATCCCATCTCATATAGGGTGCAGAGTTGGCATTGATCACTTGTAGGTATATTGCAGCCTGTCAAAACATATGACACGAGAGTCATAATTTCCACGCTAATGACCAAGGATGTGTTGTGTTCTTCGGCGATGTATTCAAGAGTAAGATACTCGGCACTTGCGGTATGGATGGAGCCATTGGACATACAAAACCCCAGGTGGTGACGATCGAGATTGATGGCATTTGTCAAAGTTGGAAACACTCATCTTCTGTGGAAACTCCTCTGTTTCACGAGAACTTCAATGTCCAGTTACAAGGCAAGGCGACGTCATTTGGTCCTCCAACTACGGAGGTCTTCTGTCTACAACCAATTTTATCCGGTTCATTGCGTCAAGTTCCTTCACATACCATTTCAGGAGCTGCAGGAAACGGACGGGTGACGAGAACGTTGGTGATCAGAGGCTTCACCTCGACAGAGTTCCTTCTGCATGCCCGCAACGACGAGTACTACAAAAACTGGACTACTCGTCTTCAATCGAGGAAACCGTTTACATCAGAAGAAAGGAGGTGGATTCGGCAGAGACTTGTAAGTCTACAGAGCAAGTCAAGTAACTGACGTTTCTCATCGAAGCACCAGCTGTACTGATCGGACCTCGAGTCTCCTGGGAGGCCAATCTGGATTCCATCCTTCTTCCTGTGATACTCAGACACATTGCCTCCGAATAGTGTGGCTTCGATCGATGCCTTCAACATTCAATTGGTGCATGAGTATCAGAATGTTCGAGAACACTTAGCTGAACATCCAATTGTAGCGAGAGGGAGGGTACTCGAATCTGAAGCTCGGTGTCAGATGCTTTTGTAAATTCCGAGTTGAGAACTACGCTCATATTTGAAATTACCATCAACTTCTCGGTTACAAAGGTCAGCCGGTCTGAAGCGATTCGGTCTGCGAAAGAATGCCTCTCGATGAATACTTTACATTCACGGAGGTTTATGGCAGGTAGGAGGACTGCTGGGGTACTAAGGTCAAGAGTACTCACAATGGCGAGGACGAACGACCGCAATCCTAAAAGAATCATGTGCAATCCTTAAGAATCAGCTGCAACTCTTCACCAGTCTAATGGCTGCTTCACAAATATCGTCGGGACCAGCTCCGGAGTCGACGGAGGACTTCAGCTGATGCCAAGCATTCCGAGAGTGGATATCCCTGGCCGACTGCTTCAAGGCCGGGTGGAAATCGGCCTCGTCGGCCAGAATTTCATCGACCGTGAACCATCGGAAATCCGAGTACTCCTTGTCGTCCATGTGGATGCGCTCGGCCTCGCCGGGCTGCAGCGTGAGCGTGAAGACGATGGAGAGGTCGCAGGTGCCATTTTCGACGGGCGGCTGCTGGCGACGAGCCCAGTGGTACGAGTGGTACCCGAGCACGCGGAATCGCGAGGGCTCCACGACGAGCTGCTGCTCGCGCTTCACCAGGCGCGCCATGGACTCCTCGGGCGTCTCGCCCGTCTTCATGCGGCCCCCCATGAACCACCAATCCGGCTGCGGCTCCACGATGCGCTTGCCCAGCAAGACCTTACAATCCGCCCCGTCCGAGTCGCAGATCAGCAGGTCCGTGCACGTCTTGACCAGACAATCCAGCGCCCGCCCGTACTCCCCATCCTCCAAGAACACGCTCTGTTTCTTGAAGTCCCCCGTCACGAAATGCGGCTGCTTCGCCCTCCACATCCTTGCGCCTCGTGCTTCCTCGATCCGCGACGCACCTCCGAGCCTCGAAAACCCTCCTCCGATCGAGCTACAGATGCATCACCGACTCTGCGATCCGAACACGAAACTCTCGAGAAGTAAGCACCCGCTCGATCACGATCACGCTACTTGGCTGCATCCATCGACCTCCCAACATATATGAGCCACAGAGACTCGGATGATACTCTGCCGCATCTGGGAGGCCGATCCTGTGCGAGCGATCTGCCCCGGCAAGAGATTCACGTTACGAGCTTCGGAATCACTTCACAGAAGCAAAGTGTCGATGAAATCTCGGCGGATGAGAATTCGTACCTTGTCTGGCGTGCTTCGCATTCGGGCATCGAGGCTTGGACTGTACAAGTGAAGGAAGACGGCGCCTCCAGGCCATAAGAGATGGCAAATCGCTCGACGAGAAACAGAGCCCGATCGGCCCCCAATCATTGGAATATTTCTGTGCAGCGCAGCAGTTCAGACCGCAGCTGTGGGAGAATATGCCGTCAACAGGTGACGGTCACGTCGTGCAAATCATAATACGCTTGAGATTCTCCACGCCACCGAGTGCCACGATCTTGCTGCTCTCGATGAACGATGAGGCCCCCGAGTCGAACGAACGGGGACAATCTCGGGATGCTGGTCGATCCGAAGGCCAGATTATGACCGGCAACGCGTCCCACTTCTTCCGATTCTCTGGGTCCCTTCCCTTCTCCGAAGCAAATGAGAAGTTACTCCGGCGAAGCGCTAACACGTACCGCCACCTGGCGGTTTATGGGCGGACATGCGCCAAAGTCTTATACTCTGTATTGTAGAGGAGAACCTGGTGAATACAACTCGAGGTGTAATTCTTGAGAACCCTTTCTTCCTTTCTGATGTCGACATAAGAAAGGAAGAAATGGTCTGGACGATTACTCTATTCGATGTCATGTCACTTTACTTCACGTGATTAAATGGATTCAAAACAAATGTGAGTATCATACGCACGATGTAAATATGTAAACCGATGTTCAGGAGGTCGAGAAATGCACGTCCATATCATGGAGACAAATCTACATTGAATTATCTGAAATGATTATTTTTGTAGATTTTAGTTCGGAACATATTAAATGTATAGTTAGTTCATGACTGCAAAACAAGAATAAGAAGAAGTTGAATTTTTTTTACTCAGAATAAATCATGATCGTAATCAAAATAAAGATCATATTGCTTTCAATGAAATTTAAACCTCATCAAATAGGGATGCATATATACGAAGTGCAAAATAGCGCTAGTAAACTTAAGATCTGAAATGAAATGTTAGTCCAAAGTTTCATAGTATTATAAACAAACAAAACCTTTAAGAAGAATATCCAAGACAAAGAGAGACACCAATTAATATAAGATATATTTTATCAAAATATATGGGTGTCCTTGCAAGCGGATAGATGAAACTAGGTCCACAGATGATCACAATGGGACATATGTCGAGGAATTTCTTTATATTTATCCCAACTAAAATTTGGAACAAAATGATATATACTCTACATATTGCATAAATGATTTTTTCATGCTGATCAATGCATACACTTATTCCAAAATAACTTTAACAAACTAAAGATAGTGAGAACCCGTATGGACTAGAACTCTCGTACTACAAATGCACTAATGCAACAAAGTCAGCTGGTTAGCGGTTAGCCAGATCTAGTCTTTGTCAGATCCCAATTGCCAGACCAGCGCCCGGGATCTGACGACTGCCCTTCCGGACGTCCGTTCGTTCTGCGAAGACGCACTTTATCAGCCGTAAGGGGCGACCAGCGTCCGGAAGACGGCAAGCCATAATCGGGACTCCCCTTCCCGATCTCGTTCTGCAACCATGCACCGTAGAGTGGTACTGCAATGAACCGTACTGAGTTGAATGAAGACATGGTAAGCCTCTGGTCTGGACATTTTAGGGCGATCGGATCATCGAGCCAAACTTCGAGAATGGAGGCGCCGCTCATTCGCATTCTCCTCTGCTCTCTCCTCCATTTATGTACTACTACACTCCCTAGCTTTCTCACATCGAGCAGATCTCCTTTCTGGACTGAGGCTGAGTGCTGAAAGCAGGAGCTTCACCATCGCCCTTTTTTCTTGGGCTCCAGGTTCTATCTCAATATCCGAGACTGACGGGTAGATCATTCTGAAGTTTCTCGATGTTTACAGAGATTATACTTGACAATGTTTGCGACTGGACGTTGCGGCCGCAGCCGAATTTGAAGTTGTCATCGAAGTGGGTGCGGAGCATGGATCAAAGTTCATTTCCCAGTTAGAAGTGATTCTGCCGATAGGAAGTTTCTCCCGATAGCGTTGCCAGATTGGTCTCTCCACCTTACATCCACCGAAGGTGCCAGGATTGTGTTTAGTTGATTCGCTGGGCTTTCATCACACGGATGGACAGCTGCGCAATTCACTCATCTTGTTTACAACATGTTACCTGTTTGTGGTCAGCAGTGCCCACAAACTAGGCTAGGCATTTTACATTACGTATCCAGATTTGGTCAGGTTGAAGCCGACGAAAGACGTGTCTTTCGTAATCGTGGCGAAAACTGTTACAAAGCTGGTAGATTAATTTGTGAGAAGCTGTCAATATCGGTGTCCGTTTTGGCCACCGGCTGCGATGGTTATCACTCGCGGTCCTTTCGTTGCCGGGTGGTCTCCATATGAGTATCTGTGCTCCATTAAGGTCCTACATTTCCATACCCTTCCACCAATACTCGCCGATAGTACTCAATGCACATTGAAGAATTGGACATGCTATCTGCTTTTGCAAGAAAGACCAATTCCGATCTCGTTTAAGGAGATTCACAGTATGTTATGTACCAACTACTCATCAGACAAATTAAACAATGAATTTCCCAGTAGATAAGAACACGCCGCAGCGATTACCTTAAAATGTGTACCTAGTACACCCAACTGGAAAGCCCGAGAAATCTCCAGCACTGCTTACCGGTAACTTCCATATCGGAGTTCCCTCTTGCGAAACCTTATCTATACATCAGCAGCTAGCAACTCGACACCATCAGACCAGACTATCTTATGTTAGGTCTCCATTCCACCCGCTGCTGGGAGATTTCAGCGTTAACAACACCTGTCTGCAGAAGAAATCTCCAATTCGGAGTGGGAATAATCCCCCGAGAACATGTCACTAATTTGACACTATCTGTGGTCCTGAAGGCAAGAGGTACATTGATCTCGGATAAAAGTCAGTCGAAAAGATTACGAAACGAACAGTGATACACTGTTCATTTTGTTTACTTTATAATGAATAGTGTATCAGTGTGATTAAATGTCCATGTTGGCTCACAAGAAGAGTAGGTCTTGAACGATACATTACTGCCATTAAGTTGCAAAACTGATTGATCGGTAGAATCAAGGACCCGTCAAGAATCAATGTACATTTGGATGTGCCCAGAGACATGCTCAAAAGAAAAATGGTTCACTGGTTTGAACTCCTAGACGCATTTGCTATTCTACATCTTGCTACTCATTACTCTATCACATATTTGCTAATACTTATTGATACAATAACTAATGGAGAGATATTTGCTTGATGTACACCATCAAGAACATATTTATTTGATGGGACCCATCAAGTTTTACCTATAGGACCCATGGACGATGAGTTCTAGTAAATGTTCTAATATAAATGAATTTTTGTATTTTTTCTTTTAAAACCATATTCATATTTTAGAAAATAGGGGAAAACATTCTATGGCGCTTATCAACCCCAAATTTACTGTGGCACGCAACGATATAACTCCTTCTACACGCACCCAATGCAACAAGGCCTTGAGGTCTTCCGACCCAATCTGAGCTCTCGATCAAACCCATCCCGACAGTGAATTATTCTGTAGATACTCCCTCACGGCCAAAACCTCATGCTTCTCCGGATAAGTTGAGATTCCATATCCGCTGCTTGACGATCCCCTTCCGACATTGTTGAGTACGAGGTGCAAGAGACGATTAAGACTTCACTTCACAACCGCAGCAGAGAGCCCAGAAATGTCGCTGCTCATGCCCACCACCGCCAACACAACCTTCGGCTCCACACCGGCGAGCTCTCACGCTCGAGCAAGCTCCTCTCATCACTTCTCGAGTCAGTCACCCTAGGAGGGGGAAGTGCGATCGTTTAGGGCCTCGTACTCCTCGCTCCGCTCTCCGAGCGCGAAGAGACGTTTTTGTTGAGTGTCAACCGTTGGGCCATACTTCACGCCGTCTGTTCATACTAGAACAGTCTGATAGTGCCGTCGTTGGTGTCCCATCGGGTAAAACAAAACTTGATGGGTTCCATCAAGCAAATATGTTCTTGACGGGGTTCTATCAAGCAAATATCTCACCCAACGTACAATTGACTATTAGAGTAAGATGTGGTACTTGCTGCAATAAAAGTTTATCAGTTTTTATCATTATAATCTTGTCAGGTTGATAAGACTAAATTCAACATGTTGATTGATAATATGAGCAAATGTTAATCAACTTTATCATGAAATTCAAAAGTTAACAATGATTTTGAAAATCAAAACAACTTTATATCATTCTATCAACTTTATCATGAAATTCATAAATTACCAATAGTTTTGAAAATCAAAACAATTTTATACCGTTTTATCAACAATAAGTTGTTGGAATGATGAGTTTAGTATATCATTTATCACATCACATCACATATTGATTCAATAATCAAATTGAGAATTGAGATAATTTTGATTCATTGGATAAGATTAAATTCATGAAAAATGTTATAAACAATACATTGAGTTACTATATCATCTTGTATATGGAACGGCTAGTTATTCTTCAATTCATATGAATTATCTCTCAATTTAATGCTGATTGTGCTGCTCTGGCAAGTACCTTCATGGACAACCGGTTTGTTGCAATGAGAACACAAGATCGAGTATCTTGATAACTTCATCTTTCTTGTTACCAACCTTGCATTTGCGCTTAATCACGACGGCATAACCCTGACTCAACGATTAAGCTTGCACCGTTGATAGCGCAGGGTCTAATGTTGCGTGGGAGGTATACTAAGATGAAGCAAGAGTATTCATTTTGAAATGAGATACCTTTGACTAATCACAAACCTCACTTCTTAAGCAATTTATATAAATTTTGTAGAATGATGTATAATTAGCATAACCCAAGGTATAATTAGCCGTTCTGTATATTTGAATCTAACAACGAAATTTTATATTTTGTTCATTTTGACTCTTACACGTTTGTGAAAGATTGTGCAAACATATTACATAAATAGATGGAAATAAATCAATTTGTTAACGTATTTTGTGACTTGTTTGGTTTAAGATTTTTACGCATTAGTTATATATAATACAATAGAATATCATGTAATCTCATGAAATTCTAGTGTTTTTGATAAATCATTTGAATATGAAATATTTAAATGAAATATATGAAATAATTAAAGCGGAAATTATACTATATTATGTTATTGGATTCTGTTGTTACACTGTGTGTCATTTCTTCATTGTATGGATTGATGGTACCGTGCTAATATTTCCTCCCTTGTTCATTTCTTCAATGACATCGTGATTCTATTCCAGTCTTGAGTTTGATTTCAGCATAAGTAATAGCTTCCATACCCCATCTGATATGCGTATTGTAGGCTTTTTTTTATGGAAAAAATACTACCTACATGCTCAAATTTTAACATATTTATGATAATTCCTTGTTTGATAAGTAGACACGAGATGAGAGAAATGTGTCGCAACAAACTAACTAGGTAGGTCAATATTTTAGAGTTTTTTAAAATTTTAGCTACGTGTGCATATGTCTTTCATATGCATGTTCTGAGTAGCGCTTAAACTCGCGAGGGAAGTCATTTGTCCAGATGAACAGATATTCATCGGACAAAACAAAACATAACGATTAATCCCTGGCCTATATCTATATCCCCGTACCTATCTTGGATTACCTTTTAGAGATTTTAAATTGACAACTATAAAATTGCGTTCAAGAAGGTATTTCTCTTATGGTTTCACACCTTTATTCCAATTGGTTGCAAGAGTAGAGATGTGAATGTCAATGAATCGTTTACTGTACTTGGTGGTAGCCGGCTTCTCTTTGTTGAAAATGATAGTGGGGTCATTAGACCAAATGCCATCGTAAAGGTTTAATTGCAATTTATTGGTTGGTACCATACACTTGCGTTTTATCATAATTTGTTGCTTATTTCCTTGCCCAAGAATTTTCATGTATATTTATGTATAAACGAGCACCACAATCTACACACTGAAGACAAATAAAGCTGCATTGTAAAGACCATACAGTAATGACTGCTGGAAAGTAGCTTCTTTTTATAAAAAGACAAAATTAGTCACCGTTATATGAGTTACAGTATACTTACAGCAACGATGGGACAAACTGTGGATAGTGCTGAAAGCTTTGGCCAGAATAAGACAAATGAGATAAGCAGCTGAAGTGTTGGAGGAGAAAGAGGAAGGGGTCGACGTTGAGAAGGGGGACTGAAAAAGTTCGGGACGGCGCTCGAGCAGAAAATATCCGAGAAGGTTTTGGTGGACCAGTTGTGAGGCAGTGCATCAAATATCCCTGCAGGTTCTTTCCGATGACTTCAGAATAGAGACGTGGCGCCTCACAGATCCATCGTCCACCTCAGTTCAGCATAACTTGCATTGTCCACACACACAAGAGTCGCAATTTCGAACCGTACCCAGGACTCTGCATTCTGTGTGCTCGCCTCGGCCAACTGCTTCAGAAACGTGTAACGTAATTTGTATGACATGGAAAATGATGTATAAATAAGTTAATGGTTTCCACGAAATAAATGTAACTGAGGATGGAATATGCATCAATTTGTAAAGCCTGTAGCCATGAAAGTGTCTGCATGGCCTGGCATGCCAAAGTGGATTCTACATCCGGTAGGGTGCAAGTGTCACCGGACTGTTTGATAAGGTCAGATTAGTTGCTTGTGATCAGAGCAACATTTTCTGGGCTTCCATGTCATCCATTTGGCACGCTCGAGACCCGCAGAGAAGCAGTACAAATTACTGCCTTTTCAGTGACATATTAAAGACAAACCAACATGGAAAAGCATAAATAAGTAACTTTTTGGGTATCGTGAGACTACACCTTGTCCGAAGAATGATCAAGTGATGAAAAGGGCCACTTCCAGTGATAGGTGACCATGTACGCACGAGAAGATTCATCGTTGGTGGCATCGGCAAAATAAAACAAGCGACAGAAGTGGAAAAACATGGTGAAAAGAACTAGAACATATAAAACCTTCATAGTTTCTCAAGGTTTGCTCGGACTTTGACCTACCTGGCCTCCATTCTCCCTCCCAGACAGTGGCACGAAAAATATAAACTTTCTGCAGCAAAACGAAAATCTCCGCCCTCAAATTCGACTCCCAAAAAGATTCGCTGCAGAAAATCGAATAAGAAGTCCGAAGAATGTCCGTTTGACGCAGTCAAGCTCCAGAACATTCTCGTCTACGATTTTCACCTCGAACGCATGCAGGCTTTGACGAGACTCGCCCTCGCTCCTGGAAATCTTGCCCGAACACGGCGAATCGACAGATCTGAAAGTCAAGCGCTCGTCAAGAAGCAAACACGTCTGGGCCCTGTGCGGTCCCCCATGCAGGGAAGATGTGCCGCTGTGTCAGTCCGCGACAACGAGTCACGAGCAAGCCTGGCCCGAAGGAAAGCTCGCCCTGCTGCAGAGCCGGTGGGGAAACCAGGCGCCAGCGGCCGAGTGCGACGAAAGGCCTGAGATTTGAATCATTGCTGGAACGAGAAAGCGGGTGCAGGACGGAAGGGAGAGCGGGGGACGAGCGGCGCGGGTCCGGTGCTGTGGACGGACGGACACATCGTCTGCAGCGCCGCAGCGCCGGAGCTCGGTCCGCCGGATGGATGGATGGACGGTCCGTGATCGCAATAGACTTGACGCCCAAGTCAGCTCGGACGGAAGATTCTGCCGGGAGACTCTGCCTCCGCGCCTGGATCCAGATTCTGTAGATTCCAGTGCTTGAGGCGCACGTTACGCCTCCGGGCTCTCCCCTGACCCGCGGGCTGCTCGATCTTCATCGGGCAGAGGGGGAGGGGGACTCTGTGGAGGCGGACGATGTGCAGCGGTGTCTGCCGACGTGCAGTTGAGCAGCGAGTGTGATTGTTGGGCCCGGGCTGGAAGAGGAGGAGGAGGAAGGAAGAAAGGAAGGAAGGAATTCGAGCTGTGGGATCGGTGCGCGTATTTTATCTCGCGATCGGAAGAATTTCTCCTCTTTCGGGGAATCGACTTCGAGGAAGGAATTCGCACGGAACTCGTGAGAGCTTGTTGGGAACCTGAGAGCTACATGCAGCACGGACAGCACGGGCAGCTCCGCCGATAAAAGAAGGTCCGTTCAATTTTCAAGCTGGATGGTAATCTGCCTTGGTAGAGAATTGAACGGGGAGTTCTATCTCTGAACATCTTCGCGGGTGTTTTGTGGTAGAATTTTCTGCTTCAGCAATTGGTTTCAATTTGTGCAATCTACTGATTTGTTACCTGCTCAGAGCTACTATGCAAATGGGCTCATGAAATTTTGCGCCGTAGGACACTTATGGTGTGAAACCAAATGCTTTTTCCAAAGGGTTTTCTCAGCCTAGATCGTCAGGGACCCAGAAATCGAATTATTGTAGAGTGTAGACGGTGTGCATCATGGGAGGAGGAGTTGAGTTGGGAGCGTCACAGAAAGTAGTCAGACTGACAGTCAGACTGACAGTCGGACCTGCAGGTGGGACCAAAATGGGAGCACCGATGGCCAACGATGAGCAGCGCGCTCCCCTCCTGGGACGTTCCAATCAGAAGGTGACTGCTGCTTAGCTGCTTCCTTGGGATTTTGTAAGCTAACCCCATGTCATTCTGCACCTGGCCCCATTCTGATTTTCCACACCTTTCAAGCTTAACCTAGAGATTTTTTTTGTCACATGTTGAAGTGCAGAAAATCCTGTACTCTTCAATTGCCTTGCACAAATTCCATTTTATAGAAAATGCTGAAGAAGGTTCTCCTCGGATTTCCTAACTGCTCAATGTTTTGGTCTTGACAGCCGAGCAAAAGTTCAAGTAGTGCCCAAAAATCTGACTTATCAGATCTGGAGCATGGGGACGCTGTTAAGGTGTGTGCAGGTTTCGCACTCTTTGCTCCTCTTTTGCAGCTGTCCACATTTTTGGTTTTTTTTTTCCAGTATCTTTGAATGAGCTGAATTTGAATTGTTCAAGTCGGTCTTCTTAATTATCCAGTTGCTTCTACCTTTCATTTTAAACCATTATCGTCACTGTTTATGACAATGCTCCTATTTTTGCAGGCGAAAAAAGTTGGGTTCAGTCGAATCATTCGACTGGTGAGAACTCGCTTAAACCACGTGTAGGCATTCCATGAAGATTGCATTTGAGCCCAGAATTTGTCAAGCGAGGACGTATAATAGAATGCTGTCAAATTCATGCTTAAAGTTGTTGCAGCTCTGATTTTAGAATCTGGGCACATTCATGCATTCTTCTGCTGCTTCATATGCTACTTTGTCTATTCCCACCTGGAATTCCGGTCTACTGATGTCTGGTCTCGTTGTTGAAGTTCATTCCTTTGACACTCACAAATTTATTGTCGTTTCGACGTGACTTGTGATTACTCTTAGGCTCGTCCAGAGACTGGAATGATAGTATTGGCAACAGTCGCTCTGTTTATATCTTCTTTATCGAACATTTTACTGGTGAGATTTTTCTACCAATGTTTACGCCATACTGTGCGTTGCATGCTAGATGAGTAGCAGGCACACTGTACCTTGTTCACATATATGGTTATCAGCACAGTCCATAGCTTCGTCTCGTGTGGTGTCGTTGTGTAGTTAGAGAGCAACACCTTCTCCAGCGGTAGATTTTCAATTCCGTCGTCGTGCATTAGTGGAAGAAAGCGAGAGTTGCACTAATTATTATCGTCTTCCGTTTCAGCCAAAGTTCGCAGGCTACGTTATTGACATCGTAACAGCGAAACCAGAGACAGAACAGGGTAGAGAAGAAGCTTTGAAGGCAGTCAACAATACAATTCTTGAAATAGTCCTCATCATCGTTGTTGGGTAAGGCTACCATGCATTTTACCCCAACGTTTCTCCAACATGTTTTCTATCAACAACACTCTTCTCGGATCATGTGTGATTTCTTTTCCTTCTTTTGACTCGGTTCATGGACCTATATTTATGGTCCACTTTACCACAGCAATTTACCTAGTGTCGTTATTGGAGCCTCGAAGGCTGACATGCTCTTGCCGATGTCAGCTACATTTTTGCCTGTGCTCATCCACCGTGGTCTTTTATTACGAATGCAGCTCCATCGCAACAAGTATTCGGGCTTACTTGTTTACAGCTGCGAGCGAACGTGTCGTTGCTCGACTGAAGAAGAATCTCTTCAGCCACCTCATTAACCAGGTGAGAAATATTCTTCCCTGTAGCCTCTTGTTGGCTCGAGAGCTCATTTCGTAGATAACTTCATGATACTCCATACACTCTATAAGTTTTCTTCACATTGATTACCCTTGACATATTTTTCGGGGTGCAGGAGATTGCATTCTTTGATGTGACAAGAACAGGGGAGTTGCTGAACCGATTGTCCGAAGACACACAGGTCATCAAGAATGCTGCAACCATTAATTTGTCTGAAGCATTACGCAGCCTTGCAACTGCGGTTATCGGCGTTGGCTTTATGTTTGAGACTTCCTGGCGTCTTACAAGTGAGTGCATACAGTCTTTACACGCCAAAATTCCTCTTGCCATATGTTTGGTGGCATTTCTCACCTTCCACCAGATATGTAGAGTGAACCTGGACGGAAGTATATAATCTCTTCGAGCCCTCAACCGGTCTAGGGCAAGATGACCTCCTAGCTACCTCGGATATGGCTATGCCCTACACATACAGAGCACAATCGATGACATGTGGAACGTTTTGATGCAGTTTTGGCTTTGCTCGTTGTCCCGGCCATTTCTTTGGGTATACGCGCTTTTGGAAAGTATCTTCGTGAGCTTTCACACAAGACACAAGCTGCTTCGGCTGTTGCTGCTTCAATCGCTGAGGTAAAACATACACTGTGATCAATCTGACTTCTTAAGGAGCCCACTGCACCAAGCATTCGTGTTGCTGAACAGTACGATGTCTGATGTGCAGGAATCTTTTGGTTCTGTACGAACAGTAAGGTCATTTGCTCAAGAAGCTTATGAATGTGATCGATATGCGGTAAAGGTGGACGAGAGCCTGAGACTTGGCTTAACCCAAGCGGTACGCTAATGTCACTGTTTTATCTAAATGTAGCCTTCTCCAATTTCTCAGCGTCTGAAAGTGCACTATGACTCTGTGTTAGATTCCCTGAACATCTTAAGTCCAAATCTCTCTTTGCAAAGTTTCGTGGAAATGTCTGTGCTGATTGAAAGTGAAATGAGCAGGAGCCTTGAGTTGCGCTGTATAGAATGGAAGCGAATTTTTGCTAACTAATATGCCCTCTGAAATAAATCATGGAATAAAACGGGGAGAAGCCTTAAACTTACGGTTATGTGTTGATTGACATTTCATTGGTTGTTGTATGACAGTTAGTCTCAGGTGCATTTTCTGGTGGTGTATCTGCAGCAGCAACTCTTGCCATAGTTGCAGTTGTTGTATATGGTGCACATCTCACTATCAAGGGCGAGATGACTACAGGCGCTCTTACTGCCTTCATTTTGTACAGTCTCACAGGTTTGCTTGCGTACCTTGTGCACTTGAACTTGTGGCAAAATCTTAGAATTTGAACTCTTAGATTGCCTCAAGAGACACTACTTGCTAACACGAGCTCGTAGCTTCCTACACACCACAAGTAACGTGATCCGACCTTGGTGCTCCTCATGGTCGGACTGTCAAGCCTAACAGATCTTAGAGCTCGAACAAATCTTTTTTCTTCAAAACTATTTTTGAAATCTCACTTGACCGGGGTTTTTTCGCGCAGTCGGACTTTCTCTTGCTTCTTTGTCCGGTCTCTACACGACAGCAATGAAGGCAGTTGGAGCCAGCCAGCGTGTGTTCCAGCTCCTCGACCGCGAATCCTCCATGCCCAAACCTGGCGACAAAAAACCGCTCGGGTACGCACAACATATACACTTATGTCCACTTCAGCCATCTTCGCAATCTCTCCCTGCCTCCTGTAGCTAAGTTGTAGTGAACACCTTCAACTCCTTGTACTTAGTTTAGTCTTCGTTTTGAATGGTGAAATCTGCTCTGCTTTCAAGGGACCTTTTCTACCTTTGTCTGCCGGATGGCCCACTCTCCATGTTTTTGTGTGAACTAGTAATGTACAGTAGGCTCTTTAGGTTTTTCTTTTTTGTTTGCATCATTTCTTTTATTTACTTCTGTATCACATTTCTCAGTAGTCATGTTGTACTTTGTGAGCATCAGGGACTCCTCAGACGAAGGGGAGGTGCTGATCGAGGATGTGTGGTTCGCTTATCCATCTCGACCAAAAGATCCGGTTTTGAAGGTCAGCCTCGTGAAGTTAACACTATTTTACGAATATAGCCTGAAGTGTTCCGGGCCAAAGATCTCCACTCCAAATACTGTTTCTGGTATTTGTAAATGCAATAAGCCAGTGAAGAAGTTGGATCAGAAAATTTCGAATGAATCCTATTATAGCTTGTCCCGTTGCTCAAACTTTGCAGGGCATTACTCTCGAACTGAAACCAGGAGCGAAAGTTGCCTTGGTTGGTCCCAGTGGTGGCGGCAAGGTATACATCTCGTTGGTTTGCCTTCTATCATCACATGATAGCTTGTATCGTCTCCCTGATTTCTGGCAGTTCTTCTCTCATTGCATTTTAAAACTCTTAACTGATTCTAGAAAAGGTGCTGTCATTTTATTGCAGACTACTATAGCCAACTTAGTTGAGCGGTTTTATGATCCTGTTAAGGGCACCATTCGTCTGAATGGAGTACCTCTGGCAGAAGTAGACCATCGGCATCTCCATGAAAAAGTAAGTGGGAACTCCTGCTGCTCATTGTGCTTCGTCTTTTGTGTCATACCAACACGACTTCCAAGCTTTCAGAGAAGGGATGTCGGCATCCGCATGAATGCGAGCTTCGCCGGAAACATGAGAGTTCATGGCTTCAGAATCTTCGGCAGTTGTGTAATTTCTTGTTTGATATACAGCCTTACGATTATTCGGAAAGAGAGTTCATGGACGGCCCTCAGTGCTGCACTGATCCCAACTTTGAGGACATTCTTGTCCATTTAATAACACTTCGAGCGATATGGCTGTGCAGATTAGTATTGTGAGCCAAGAACCAACACTGTTCAACTGCTCGGTGGCGGAGAATATCGCATATGGAGTCAAAGGATCAATTTCTCCAGCTGAAATCGAGCGAGCATCGGTGAGTTCTGCAGAAGCAGGAAAGCCATGACACCTTTCATTGCTTACTTCTGATGCTAAAGAGGAGATCCAGCTGCAGAAGTCATTTATGGAGCTCAGAGTACGAGCATTATGAACAATCTTTCCTTCCCTCTGTGCAGAAAATGGCCAATGCCCATGAATTTGTCAGTAAGTTTCCGGAGGGCTACAACACATATGTCGGTGAACGTGGGGTGAGGCTATCAGGAGGTCAAAAGCAGCGCATAGCCATTGCCAGAGCCCTTCTAATGGATCCCAAAGTGCTCCTCCTGGACGAGGCCACGAGTGCTCTAGATGCAGAAAGCGAGTATCTGGTCCAGGTAAGTCCTCGCTAAGCTATTCAGTAATTGGAGTGTTAAGAATCTGGGAATTCTGTTGCACTCATGTCCTTGGCTGAGGTTGCCATGAGAGTAGCATAGCAGGGAGTAGTCTCCGTTGGTGCCACTTTACCCAAATTTTTACAATGTGGCAAAGGCATGGACTTTTACGATTGTCATTTATACTTAAAGAGGAGATGATGGTGCCTTGATTTTTGACACCGGGAGATGTTCTGCAGGATGCTATGGATCGGTTAATGAAGGGGAGAACGGTCCTAGTCATTGCACATCGGTTGTCAACCGTTCAAAGTGCAGATATTGTGGCGGTCGTCTCAGATGGTCAAATTGCAGAGAGTGGGTCTCACGATCGACTTTTAGAGAGCAATGGTGTTTATGCGAGCTTGGTCCGAAGGCAGCTGCAGGGTTCTTCAACTCGGAGCAGATCAGGTGGCAGCAGTATGGGTGATCTAGGAGAACAATGACAATAAGAATGCGCTTTCCTGTCAAATTAAATTGATGAAACGGGAAAGAGAAAACGGCCTCGTTGGCTGGAAAATGATTTTGGCCGGGCAATCTTTGTGATGCGCCCATCATGACAATCTGAAGGAAGTGACGTCATGCCTTGCGTTCTCTGACGAAGATCTTTCCAGCTCTTTCAGAAGTAGACGTCAAAACAAATCTATTTTGAATTGGAGTTGTTCTTTGGGCCTTCTCTCGTCCCTCGAGAAACTTCCTTGTTTGTGACGACGGAGAATAACTTCCAGATAAACACAACTATTAGCTGTGAGAAATCAGCGGGCAAGCCCCAAATTTATTCCCCTCTCCAGTTGTCCGAGTACTTGTACACAACATCAAGGACACCTTCTCCCAGGAGGCCTTGCAGAACCCAGCCTAGAAGGTTTCAAGGTTTCCCATACGATATGTGGGGTTGTGACTTACTTCTGTCTGAGCTGTGAACTCCCTCAGATAGTTGTGTAATTTCCTTGTGCTGCGGCATAGGCTTCGCCGTCCTGAGAATTAGCTCGTTCTCGTCCCCTACTACACAGCCATCGATACTGTATAAGCAGCTACGTCTGCAGCCCCGACGATAGATTGGTGATAAGTAAACCCCTGTCTATACAGAGACTTCGCCGACATCTGTTTTGGACAAGGTCCCCTCATCATGTACAACATTTTTCTGAAAGTGGATCTCTCAAATCTCTGGAATGACACTGCCATCAAATCTTTGAATAATCTATGATGCACTCACTCTCTTACTCTCTATGTGATTGGCTGTGTACCTTTGAGTTACCTCGATATAGCATCTTTCTAGCTTGTAAGCCGCTTGGGTGGTATCGCTTGGGACATAGTTAAGCTCTCGATTCAAAGTTGCAGATATCTGGCACTTTCTAAAGGCTTAGGAAGATCATGTTCTCCTGCTGCCTCCTGAAGTACCGATTACGAGAATGTATTATTACAGCAGTTGTCTTCCCTCTGCAGCGAATGTCGGCTGTGGTTCAGAATGAAAAAGGACTCGTGCCTCGAGCTCTTATTCCAACTCCTTTGAAGTAGTAAAATTGGAAATTGATCTCATGTACGGGAACATTTGGAATAGTTGCAGACTGCTTCTCTGTGAGAGATTGCTATCAAGTACGAACGAACGTAGTCGACAGTGGATAGATTCAGTCAGCGACTCAGCTTTGTCATACTATCGCAAGAATATCCTGCCATGAACAAGAGAGTTTCCTTTCACTCAGGTTGGGGCTTACCTGGAAAAACTCCCCGCTCAACTTTGCTCCCATTCCACCTTTCTCAGATTACATAACAAAATGTGCGCTCGTTCCTACCGCTAGTAGTGCTGCAATCCCTCGGTGGATCAGTGTCGAGCAAGGATACACGAGAATACATAGTGCTCTGGATCTTCCATTTTCTGCCTTGGTTGAGAACTGATCCTGTTTTACTCAGGCTATATTTTGAAATCATCAAAAAGGTTACAGATGAGAAAAGCTGTTCATCTCTATGGCGGGCAAAAATTAGAATTACTCGGATATCGAGTGAAGTATAGCCTTTTCACTGAAACCCATAAGCAAGAGATCTGGAGATTCATCGAGAAATTCTGTACTCTATGTTTTGCACTGTAGAGTCTACTAGATGGACGCTTGGAGGGCTGAGCCCGAGATTCAATTTCGAATATTTTATTGAAGTCAACTCAACTGAAGAGTACATGAATCTGTAAAAAATCGAACGCATCAGATCTGACGTGAAGCGAAGTGTACCGCCAACGGGGCCATAGATACTTACAATCCTCTGTTTCTTACTGAGACCCGTACACAGCTGAAGCAAATTATCTTGAGTATCTAAGAAATAGTTCAAGGGACATCCATCAACCGAATCAGTAGCATCTCCTCACGTTTTCGTGCAACATGTGAAAGGTGAGGAAATTCCCACGTTAGAAGGTCTCCCTTTGGTTATCAGTACCGAACGGTTGAACGTTTTTTGTACAGAAATTGAACTTTTGAGCAAAAGCAACAGTCTCGACCTTTAAGAAGCGACTCTGCGCTCTACTAAGACCTTGTAGACCTTACTTCCGCAACCTTTGGAAGCCTAACTAATTTTGGTTTCTAGACCGAGCCTAGGAGGCCAAAACAAACAGAAAAAGGTCACAAAGTACCCAACCTTCATCAGCTACAGAGCTCCTTAGGTCGTCCATGGGTCAAATCATGTTTGTGTGGTCAAATCCAGGGCAGGTAATTGGTACAATATCACTTCCACGCTACATCTAGTCGATCGTTACAACCTTCGGTGTCCAGCTCGACAGAAGGTCCAAATCACGTCACGTGGGGCACGGAAACATCTCATCTCATCTCATCACAGGATCACAAACTAGGTCTGTATCCTGCTGACATCCTCTCAGAGATAGATGGGGTCTGAATCTTTGCACACTTCAATAGCCAAACCATAATTCTGAAACGCTCATTGGACTTTGCTAAGCGTCACAAGTGATGGCACTTAATGTAACGTGGAGATGCTCTAGAATAGTCAGTCCGTATGCGCATCTGTTGTACGTACTTAGAGTGAGGGGCTGAGTTGACATGAAACCGTCCTGCCCAGATAAAAATAATGATGCTGGCCATCGTCAGCCCCTAATAATCTCAGAGGCAGAAGCAGAAGTTTGAAATTAGGGTCACCCGATTTTAATCTTGTGATCACAGAGACGAAACGGAGTGCGTGCAAGAAACAAAATATTCCACGCCGTTTGCACTTGGCAGCGGACTCTAGGCATGAAGCCTAATTCAACCGACCGCCGTGGACGATCCAAGAAGCAGAGTTCTGCTGTCCGAGGCAACCGCCGTGTCAAATCAACCGAGACATCGGTGGACGTAGGGACAAATGGAAGTGACGCACATCGATAATCAAACCCCAGCTATGTGTGAGATTACCCACATTGACCTACTTCTCCTTCCAAACTAACCCAGGCCAACCCAGCGTCCGAACCTTGCTTCGAGCTAAGATTCTACGAGGGCTTGTGTGCCTACATCAGAGATAAAGAAATCCAAAAGCAGTCTGTCAGTCCTAGTGTCCATAATCAACAGATCCTCGGAATCTTGCATTCTAGACACATCGTGACAAACGCATTGCGATCCTCGAACCCTCGAAGTACGTGAAGGGCACTAGCATTTAGCTCCCCGCGGTTAGAACAAGAACAGCATATACACATGGAAGTTGGAACCTCGCAAAGATTTGGGGATCCCACATGCTTCCAATTAATGAATCTCACGATCGAGAGTAGCCAAAAATTTTATCACATCATCAATAAACAAAGCTGAAAAGCTTATAAAATAACTCTCCCGGAAGAACTTGCGCTTCGGATCGAACAACTTTTTACTGACTGCGATCAGAATAAATAACAAAATAATTCTTGGCACAGTGGCCGCATTCGGTCAAGTCGCCAGATTTTAGGAAAAGGTCATCACCGACGGGGATTGACAATTGCTGGGGATTGACGAAAAAATCTCGACACTATTCGCCTGAAAGAGCTGCAAAAGTGTTCGGGCTTCGGTGGACGAAGCTGGAATTATTCTCGCCAATTATCATGAGCAGGAATGTTGGTCGTGTGACCAAATGGGCAACTGTGTCCTTGATTCATATCCCGTGAACCAGGTCTCGAGCGCTCTCTAATTACTGCCACATCAGTCTCAGCGCTTGAGTATCGAGGCTCGCACATGAATCTCGTGATGCTGAGTGACATCACTCTCGTATTCTGCTTCGTCATCATGATTTCGTTCGCGACAATTGCAGTTAAGGGTGTGATTTAGAGTGATAATTTAATTATATGTTTTATGATGAAGGATGTAAAAAAATAAAATTACATGAGTCCTTTTAGTGCATCAATGTTAGAATTGGTTACTAGTCCTGATTTAATAAAATCGTAGTGATCACAAACTTTTCATTTCGTTCGTTGAGGGCAGTATCTTTGCGCATCCCACATTAATGGAAATATGTTCATATGTTATTGTTTGATATTATAAAATTAAAATAAATTTCACAAATCGTGCTTTTCAAAATGTATAGTACTAGTAAAATCGTTCCTGATAATCACAACTAGATGCAAGTTCACATCATAACATCCAAATTGGATCAAACTATGTACTGTCAATTTTTGAATTTTAATCTTGATCATAGAAATTCAATTTAAAGGTCAATAAGGATTCATTGAAATGTCCCCAAGAAATTGTTAACAAATTACATACCAAGATACTGCATGACCTTCCGGATGAATCCTTTAAAGTGTGTAACAAGATAATAGTATGTTTGGATTCGGCGTTTTTGCAAGAGAAAGTAGTGTCTGCATGCTATGGACAGACTGGATATAAATGCTTCTTCTCTCTATTCCCTACAATTATATCTTCTTATCTTCAAAAGTTATCATTATTGGTCATTGTCACATTTTTTTCATTGTATGATTCCAAAGATACTCAAACAACGTTATCATATTTTTATTTCTTTCTTTCTTTCTTTCTTTTGTTCATGAAGAAATTCACTTTGCTAGACAAGGTTTTTTTTGCTTCGAAGAATTTGATCAATCAAGTATTTTTTATTGTACGTAAGATTTAGTAGTATATTTTATGGTATTTTGATCTACAAGAATATGCTGTTATTCTTGGTGGATGGGTTTCTATTTTCACGCTATTTCATATTCGTATTTGACGTAAAGGGTGAGAATCTTGATGAGTCAATCAGGTGGAAAGTATACAACATACATGTGAGAGCAAATAACTATTCGAGCATACAGTGATCAAATTTATATTCACCTTTCCACTTACAGATGTCACACTGTTCCAAACGTAAACACATGCAGATGTTTTCCATATGATATCACGCACTCATGGATTAATACTCGCGTCATGAACTCCAATTGGATCATGAGGATTGAGATAACTTCCACATGACTTCTATGTAAAGCTCGGTGTTTTTTTACTGAGTTCAAGGTATATTTATCAAGAACACACATAATGCAGAGGTCGGTACATACTTTATATTGTTTATGACTCCGTATTACATAACTGAAACATCCTTACAAGTGACGGGCATCCCAATGAAAGACCCTGCGTAGCTATTAATTCCCTTATGTTGAATGTATTTAAATTCCATATTTTCCAAAAGTTCTTGTAGGACAGAACCACCGAACAAGGCGAAAGATGCTGACGGAAGAAACTAAGAAATCTAGCACCCTAGGTTGCTTAGAGATCATGTATAATTATCTATAGTATATACAACTATCCACATGGAAATGAAAGTTCATATTGTACTTTATCTCATGAATGAAAGCAGGTCCACACAGTACACGTCAATTACATCATGAAAGAAAAGTGTACAACCGGTGGAGGTGGTGTTCGAGCCCATGATTTTTTATTTTGTGAGGCGAAAGCTCAATCTGCCACGCATGTGGCGATGAGCTGTTGCTCTTTATTCTTTGCCACCTTTCCGACCGAGGCCTCAAAAAACACTCATAAATTTGTATACGGTAAGAAATTCGTTATATCCATTAGATAGATATTTGTTCTAATCTTTGCATTGGGCTACAATCAGCCATATCACTCTTTGGATATCTTGAACTTGGATGATGAGTTAGACAAGTGGAAGCCCGAAGCATTACAAGCCGTGGGCCGAATGGCTCTGCGGGTCCTTCTTTTTCAATTTTTTCTTTCTACTAGAACGTTCATATATGATATAATC